ACAGTAGCCTGGAACCTAACCTGCAGTATAAGTGGGGCCCTACAGTAGCCTGGAACCTAACCTGCAGTATAAGTGGGGCCCTACAGTAGCCTGGAACCTAACCTGCAGTATAAGCGGGGCCCTACAGTAGCCTGGAACCTAACCTGCAGTATAAGTGGGGCCCTACAGTAACCTGGAACCTAACCTGCAGTATAAGCAGGGCCCTACAGTAGCCTGGAATCTAACCTGCAGTATAAGCAGAGCCCTACAGTAGCCTGGAACCTAACCTGCAGTATAAGCGGGGCCCTACAGTAGCTTGGAACCTAACCTGCAGTATAAGCGGAGCCCTACAGTAGCCTGGAACCTAACCTGCAGTATAAGCGGAGCCCTACAGTAGCCTGGAACCTAACCTGCAGTATAAACAGGGCCCTACAGTAGCCTGGAACCTAACCTGCAGTATAAGTGGGGCCCTACAGAAGCCTGGAACCTAACCTGCAGTATAAACAGGGCCCTACAGTAGCCTGGAACCTAACCTGCAGTATAAACAGGGCCCTACAGTAGCCTGGAACCTAACCTGCAGTATAAGTGGGGCCCTACAGTAACCTGGAACCTAACCTGCAATATAAGTGGGGCCCTACAGAAGCCTGGAACCTAACCTACTGTATAAAACAGGGTCTCCTGCATCTTTATTTGGGATAAAGATACATAAATATTGCACAAGTGTCTCATTAATCAATAACACTTGTCATAAAAGAATACCATTATTCTCTGAACTGAGCAACATGGTTTTGTTTCAGCTTCTAAGAATCTTTCATTCTCACCTTCTTCAGAACATAAAAAGGTATAAATTAGCAAACAATTAACAGATCATTTATTAATATTGTTTAGTACAAAATGACTAGAGAAAACAATCCATAAATTAAACGGTTTGTCATATTTACACGTATCACATTGACATCATCACATACAATGATATGGATCATTACTCACGAAATCGTAAACAAACCATGGAACGGGCAGGGATTGAACCCATGGCAAATGAGTCCTAAAATTCCATGGGTTGAATCTCTGCCCGTCCCGTGGTTTATAAGGATCAGTTATCAGCAGACACTCTAGGTATAGTATAAGAAAGGATGATACAAGTACAGATGATGGATCTGGCTAAAAAATGTGCACTACAATATTGTATTGTGTAACACAGTATAGTACCTTTCAATACTGTATTGAGTAATACAATACAGTACCTTGCAATACTGTATTGTATAATACAACACAGTATCTTTCAATACTGTATTGTGTAATACAATACATTATCTTTCAACACTGTATTGTGTAATACAATACAGCACCTTTCAATACTGTATTGTGTAATACAACACAGTATCTTTTAATACTGTATTGCATAATACAATACAGTACCTTTCAATACTGTATTGTGTAATACAATACTGTAAAGTACAATACAATACTGTGTTGAATTTTTTATTACTAAGAATACATCTTTATCAATGTATCTGATGCAAATTATGTAGTGGGATAATCATGTCAACAAAAGTAATTCATCAAGAACTGACAGCACAACTATTAATTCCCAGAAAAACTAATAAAGACCTCAAAAATTTGGATCTTCATTAGGATTTCACACCAAAATGATAGGCACTGAAATATCACAATTTTTTTTTAAGCTTTTTGAAATGGAAGCTGAAGAAAAATAATGGTAGGTAGATCGTGGACTTAAATTTTGTCATACAGCGATCCGACTTATGAACTGGGTCCAAAAGACAATACTGAGAAAATTGTTTTACAAATGCAGTTCTGCAGTTAGGAACATTTGTGGTTCATAACCTTCATTTTTACCAGCTTTTTCTAGAGGATAATAGTTTCAAGGTTAAAAGAGCTTGTTTGCAAAATTGAAATACTACCTGGAACACAACTCACTTCTGAACAGAGCTATTTACTGTATGTTGTCTTCTTTATGTCACCCTGCCTTGTGTCACCCTGCCTTGTGTCACCTTGCCTTGTGTCACCATGCCTTGTGTCACCTTGCCATGTGTCACCCTGCCTTGTGTCACCTTGCCTTGTGTCACCATGCCTTGTGTCACCTTGCCTTGTGTCACCCTGCCTTGTGTCACTTTGCCATGTGTCACCTTGCCTTGTGTCACCCTGCCTTGTGTCACCATGCCTTGTGTCACCTTGCCTTGTGTCACCCTGCCTTGTGTCACCCTGCCATATGTCACCCTGCCTTGTTTCACCCTGCCTTGTGTCACCATGCCTTGTGTCACCTTGCCTTGTGTCACCTTGCCTTGTGTCACCCTGCCTTGTGTCACCCTGCCTTGTGTCGCCTTGCCATGTGTCACCCTGCCTTGTGTCACCCTGCCTTGTGTCACCATGCCTTGTGTCACCTTGCCTTGTGTCACCATGCCTTGTGTCACCCTGCCTTGTGTCACGATGCCTTGTGTCACCCTGCCTTGTGTCACCCTGCCTTGTGTCACCATGCCTTGTGTCACCTTGCCTTGTGTCACCTTGCCTTGTGTCACCATGCCTTGTGTCACCCTGCCTTGTGCCACCCTGCCTTGTGTCGCCCTGCCATGTGTCACCCTGCCTTGTGTCACTGTCTTGTGTCACCTTGCCATGTGTCACCCTGCTTTGTGTCACCTTGCCTTGTGTCACCCTGCCTTGTGTCATCCTGCCTTGTGTCACCATGCCTTGTGTCACCTTGCCTTGTGTCACCTTGCCTTGTGTCACCCTGCCTTGTGTCACCCTGCCTTGTGTCACCCTGCCTTGTGTCACCATGCCTTGTGTCACCTTGCCTTGTGTCACCCTGCAATGTGTCACCCTGCCTTGTGCCACCCTGCCATGTGTCATCCTGCCTTGTGTCACCCTGCCTTGTCACTCTGCCTTGTGTCACCGTGTTTTGTGTCACCCTGCCTTGTGTCACCCTGCCATGTGTCACCCTGCCTTGTGCCACCCTGCCTTGTGTCACCCTGCCTTGTATCACCCTGCCTTGTGTCACCCTGACTTGTGTCACCCTGCCTTGTGTCACCCTGCCATGTGTCACCCTGCCAAGTATCATCCTGCCTTGTGGCACCCAGCCTTGTGTCACCCTGCCTTGTGTCACCCTGCCTTGTGTCACCCAGCCTTGTGTCATCCTGCCTTGTGTTACATTGCCATGTGTCACCTTGCCTTGTCTCACCCTGCCATGTGTCACCCTGTCTTGTGTCACCCTGCCTTGTGTCACATTGCCTTGTGTCACCCTGCCATGTGTCACCCTGCCTTGTGTCACCCTGCCATGTGTTACCCTGCTTTGTGTCACACTGCCATGTGTTACCCTGCCTTGTGGCACCCAGCCTTGTGTCACCCTGCCTTGTGTCAACCTGCCTTGTGTTACATTGCCTTGTGTCACCCTGCCTTGTGTTACATTGTTTTGTGTCATCCTGCCATGTGTCATCCTGCCTTGTGTTACATTGCCTTGTGTCACCCTGCCTTGTGTTACATTGCCTTGTGTCACCCTGCCATGTGTCACCCTGCCTTGTGTCACCCTGCCTTGTGTCACCCTGCCATGTGCCACCCTGCCTTGTGTCACCATGCCTTGTGTCACCTTGCCTTGTGTCACCTTGCCTTGTGTCACCTTGCCTTGTGTAACCTGCCTTGTGTCACCCTGCCTTGTGTCACCTTGCCATGTGTCACCCTGCCTTGTGTCACCCTGCCTTGTGTCACCATGCCTTGTGTCACCTTGCCTTGTGTCACCGTGCCTTGTGTCACCCTGCCTTGTGTCACCCTGCCTTGTGTCACATTGCCTTGTGTCACCCTGCCTTGTGTCGCCCTGCCTTGTGTCGCCATGCCTTGTGTCACCTTGCCTTGTGTCACCTTGCCTTGTGTCACCCTGCCTTGTGTCACCTTGCCATGTGTCACCCTGCCTTGTATCACCCTGCCTTGTGTCACCTTGCCATTTTGTCACTCCTTGTGTCACCTGCCGTGTCACCTGCCTGTGTCACCCTGCCTTGTGTCACTGCCTTGTGTCACCTTGCCAGTGTCCCCTGCCTTGTGTCACCCTGCCTTGTGTCACCTTGCCCATGTTTTGGGCACCCTGCCACTGTGTGTCACCCTGCCATGTGTCAACCTGCCTGTGTCCGCCATGTGTCACCCCTTTCCATGTGTCACCCGCCATGTGTCACCCTGCCTTGTGTCACCCTGCCTTGTGTCACCCTGCCTTGTGTCACCCTGCCATGTGTCACCCTGCCATGTGTCACTCTGCCTTGTGTCACCCTGCCATGTGTCACCCTGCCATGTGTCACCCTGCCATGTGTACCTGCCTTTGTCACCCTGCCTTGTGTCACCCTGCCTTGTGTCACCTGCCTTGTGTCACCCTTGCCTGTGTCACCTGCCTTTTGTCACCCTGCCATGTGTCAAACCCCGCCATGTGTCACCTGCCATGTGCACCCTGCCATGTGTCATGCTGCTTCTGAAAATGGCTTCAAGAAAAAAAAAAAAAATGCTTATGTACTTATGCCGTAGGCCCTCATCACTGGAGTAATTGGAAATATGAAGTTCTTGAAATCACACCCTGGGACTTTGTGACTGTACTTGTCCGGTTCAGTCCAATCTCTTGCAGGAATATTTCCTGCAAGTGATGGACCTGAACACATCGTTTCAGGTTGAGGCTGATTTCAACCTCTTTACCCCTCCTTCCACCCTTCCTTGTATTGGACTGTGAAGTCTGTTTTGGGATGTTTCTTCAAAAGATTCCGGGTTGCATAGTGTCTCAAGTCTTATACTTAGCGGCACATCGCAGCAGATGTTCAATACTGGCCAAGGTAGATGTAGTTCACTTGGACCACTTTAATCAGCTGTTCTGGAAGAATGCCTTGTCTAATTATTGAAGAAAGGTTTGGGTTACAAGACTTGGGATACACGCAGGTCTGTTTACAGCATCACTTATGGCGTTTCGCTAATGGTGGTTTACAATTGTACCCTTTCATTTATCAGACTTTTACATTCCTTTTCATCCTTAAGCTAGGTTAATCTCCATGTTCTTAAAAGCAATAGCAACAGCAACTCAAGAAGCTAATTTATGTACCTTTGCCCCAACACAGGAAGTGGGTGTGCATAAGGTAAACAAATCATTTATTGGGTTAAAAGTGATTGTAGGGTCTATGTACTGGTGCAGTAGGTCTACCAACAGGTTGCTGCTAAAGTGACTTATATAAGTAGACCCTTGTAAACCTTTTACAGCAGCACCAGTTCTGAGAGCACACTTGCTTTACTTCTTCTTCTTTCTTTCAACACACCGGCCGTATCCCACCGAGGCGGGGTGGCCCAAAAGGAAAAACGAAAGTTTCTCCTTTTACATTTAGTAATATATACAGGAGAAGAGGTTACTAGCTCCTTGCTCCCGGCATTTTAGTCGCCTCTTACAACACGCATACTTGCTTTACTTGTCACCACATTATAACATATGATTAAAAGATTTATTCTAGGTTTTATTGCTCTAAAATAATTCAATAAAGCAATTATTATGAGTTATTACCATTGCAGGTTCCTCCCCAGGATACAACCCACAGCGGTTGATAAACATGACAGCAGACATAAAAAAAAGACTTACTCAACTTGATCCATTCGTTGTTCAGACCCTCAAAATTAATACTGCTCTCAGTGTCCACATTAAAAAAAATATATATTATTATTTTTATTCTGAAATGGCAGAGAATCTTTTTCTGAAAGTAATGACACCAAAAGTATGAAATTTGATGGAACTCTTATGGAATTACGCAGGGGCAAAGTTAGCATTCTCGGCACAATTTACACAGATGATTTCACCCATTTTGAGTCCTATTTTAAGGCAATTTCATTGCTCCACTATACCAAATTCTTAGCTATTTTGCTAGTATGCCTTCCATTCTATCGACTGAGCAAAAGAATTGCCCATTTAACTGTCTCAACTACATTATAAAGTGCACAGAATTTGGTAATTCAGCTAACTTTAAACAAAATTAGAAAAATACACGTTTAAAAATATAGTCCAAAATAAAGCAATATTTTTTCTCTTTATTAATCATGCCCCCAGGTCTTCCATTTTGAATTCACAATCACACAAAAGAACAGAAGACTTTGCTCTGTTTCTCAGATATAAAACATAGTCAGGAATGACTGGTCATGGTTTATGGTTTACCTGGAGTTTACCCGGAGAGGGTTTCGGGGGTCAACGCCCCCGCGGCCCGGTCTGAAACCAGGCTTCATGGTGGATCAGGGTTTGATCAACCAGGCTGTTACTACTGGCCGCACGCAAGCTGACATACGAACCACAGCCCGGTTGGTCAGGTACTGACTTTAGGTGCTTGTCCAGTGCCTTCTTGAAGACAGCCAGGGGTCTATTGGTAATTCCCCATATGTATGCTGGGAGGCAATGAACAGTCTTGGACCCTGGACGCTTATTGTGTTGTCTCTCAGTGTACCTGTGGCGCCTCTGCTTTTCATTGGGGGAATGTTGCATCTCCTGCCGAGTCTTTTGCTTTCATATGGAGTGATTTTTGTGTGCATGTTTGGTACCAATCCCTCCAGGACCTTCCAAGTGTATATTATCATGTATCTCTCTCGCCTGCATTCCAGGGAATACAATCAAGGACCTTCAACCATTCCCAGTAGTTTAGGTGCCTTATCGCACTTGTGTGTGCTGTGAAAGTTCTTTGTACACTCTCCAGGTCTGCAATGTCGCCAGCCTTGAAGGGGGCCGTTAGTGTACAGCAGTATTCCAGCCTAGAGAGCACAAGTGATTTAAAGAGAATCATCATGGGCTTGGCATTCCTAGTTTTGAAGGTTCTCATTATCCATCCTATCATTTTCCTAGCGGATGAAGTAAATACATGTACATTGTTGTGTTCTTTGAAGGCGAGATTCTCTGACATTATCACTCCCAGGTCCTTCACATTACTTTTCAGCTCTATTGTATGGTTAGAATTTGTGGTATACCCTGACACATTTTTAATTTCTTCAAGTTTTCCATATCTGAGTAGTTGAAATTTCTCCTCGTTGAACTTCATATTGTTGTGAGTGGCCCATTCGAAGATTTGGTTGATGTCCACTTGGAGTCTCGCAGTATCTTCGATGGAGGTCACTGCCATGGTGATCCAGGTGTCATCCGCAAAGGAAGACATGGAGCTATGGCTTACATCTCTGGTGTCCCAATAGCTGAATCAGATCTATTAAAAACCCACAAAATAGACTGGGATATGGGGGGGGCCTTACTTGTCCTCAAGAAAATGGTAAAAAACATCGAATATTTCCGCTAATTTAAGCTCGATTTCAAGTTACTTCTGGTTTGTAAACCAACCAAAATCATCTCTATTTCAATAATAAGTCTTTCACTCTATCAACTGATACTAAGAAATGGCTAATAAAACCATAAAAAAAAATCTGAGAAAACACCTCAAAGTCACTATCTTAAACCATAAACATGGTCAGAGTTTTGTTTTTCTCATCATACACCACAAGGAGCAGAATTTTCTTTTTTATACAGTGAACACTCACCACGCAGACCCATTCTCTCATATTCAGGACAAAATTTACTTCTCACAGATTATGTGAGTGAGCTGAGCTTATGATGTAAAATTACATGAGGGACCCTGGCATCAATGATGTATTTCTATGTGGCAGCCACTGAAAAGGTTGCGAATTAAACCTACATCCTTTCTGTTGTGAGCTGAATGCTCTTTTGCTCGGCTACAGAATACAAAATGACACATACAGGGATTAAAAAAAAAACTGCTTACAAATAGCAAATAAGGAAAGATAAAGTATATTTTAGTTTTAACACATCGGCAGTCTCCCAATGAGGTAGGGTGATCCGAAAAAAAAGAAAGACTTTCACCAGCATTCCCTCTTATCACTATCTTGCCAGAAGCAGTTCAGATGCCCTGCCAAATTGCAAATACCCTACCTCTCCTTCAGAGCACAGTCACTGCACTTCCCACTAGCAGGACTCAAGTCCATTAACCAGTTTCCTTGACTCCCTTCACAAATGTTACCTTGTTCACATTCCAACAGACCATCAAGTCCTGAAAACCATTTGCCTCCACTCATTCCTATCTAACACAATCACACATTCCTGTTCAATATCCAAGCCCCCTTGCACACAAAACCTTTACACCCCCTCCCCCTCCAACTTTCCTAGGGTGGCCCCTACCCTGCCTTCCTTCCACTACAGATTTGTATACCCTCCAAGTCATCCTATTTTGCTCCATACTTTCTAAATGCCCAAACCACCTAAACAACCCTTCCTTGGCCCTCTGGATGATACTTTCAGTAACCTTGCACCTCATAATCTCCAAGCTATGATTTTTTTGCATAATATTCACACCACACATTGCCCTTAGACACAACATCACTGCTTGCAGCCTTCTCCTCACTGCAACATTCGCAACCCATGCTTCACACCCAATGGAAATAAGTCACTCTGTCTGACTTATTTGGGCTATCCTAGGTTCTCTACACATATGCTGCTATGTATGATAATTCTATGTAACTGTATTTGTGTATACCTGAATAAACTTACTTACTTACTTATACTCTCACATATTTTCCTTTTTGCCTCCATGCATATGCGGCAACTGAACAAATACTTAAAAAAAAAAGAAAAAATATGCATTTAGGTGCCACAAAATATTACTATAAATATTTATAATTTACCTGATATTTGAGATGCTGTACATGCATCTTCATTAATTCATATTAGTGAAGCAAACACCATAACTTTTGATGGCATATTTACACACTTCCTGCTATATAACTATAAATTAACTATAACTATAAATTAAGTAAATAATATTTCTTAAACCTATAATTGTAACTAAGATATATGAGCATCAGTCATTTCATTACTAAATTTATTACCCATGACACATGAAGAAGAAATGACCAATAAAAAAAAAAAAAAAAAAAGTGAATTTGTGTGAAGCATAAAAAGTTATGCAATTATTTATGTTACTTCTGCAATATTTCTCAAGTGATCGGTTACTTTTCACTTGTTTTAAAAGCAATTAGAAAATGAGTTATAGTTTTAAAAGATTAAATGCGGCCATATCAACTATGGCTCAATCTAAAAAACAGTGGAGTTAAGATCTCTCAGAGTTAAATCACAGCATGGCAAACCACCAATAAAAACTATATGGTAAGAGTGTTTTCTTTAAAATTTAATTAAAATATAATTTATGAAGAAAATAACAGCCAATCTCATTAGATTAAGCTTTCTGTACAGTTCTGCTTATGCAGAATACTATCAGTTCCAACAATGTTTGATAACATTTTTGCCTGATATATACAAATCTCTATTTCAATAAAAATATTTAGCTAACTAATTTGTCCGGGTGCTACAAGGAAGTTTCGACTGCCTTTATGGGCGATGTCAGTGAAGTTGGAGATGGGGTACGGCGTGTACTGGCAGGTGGAGGCAGCTGTAGACCATCCAAGAAGACTTGAGGTGCTGAAACACTTGGGGACTTGATATCACTGATCACAAGATTGGTGTTGACATTTCCAGTAAGCATTTCAACCATTCTGTTGAAAGAGAGATGTTCTTTGAAACCAAAAATGTTTTGCAGGTATTTTCTTTTCCCACTTTTTCCTAACATACCCTTAATTTTCTCTTTTGCCTCCTACAGTGAACTTTCTCAGTCTTCATTTTCATTCGTATCCTGCTTTCTTTTCTTTATGGAACTTTACTATCTCTTATTTTCACTTCTTTCTCAGTCCTCTTTAACCATTTCCCTTGTTTATATCTTCTTCATTTCTCTCTCTCTCTTCCTTGCATCATCTCTTCACCCCATTCTCTTTCCCCACTGCCTCCCACTTTTCTCACTACAGTATTTCCATTTCCATTATTCCCTTTACCCCCGTCTTCATGCCCAGCATCAATTCCATTTTCCAAATGTCATTCTTTTTCATAAATTCCTTTTCATTCCTTCTCTCTCCTTCCTCTACTATCCCTTTCCCTCGCAACTGCTCATTCCTCATGGCATTCTTTTCTTTCCCATTTCCCTCATTTTCCTCTCCTCCCTACCCTCTCTATCAGACGCCAGACTGAAATCTGAGTCGGCATTAGTAGTCGAAGCATGAGTGGCAAAAACGAAAAAGCACCAAATTAAAAATATAGAAAAACGCAGACATGAGGAAGATCAAAGCAATGAACCTCAAGTTACCATACAGGCACTCCTTGACTTATGATGGGCTTACGTTTTGACGAACCATAGTAAGTAAAAAATATCGCAAGTCGAATATGTGATTTTCTCTATCAACAAACTGGCCATATCCCACCGAGGCAGGGTGACCTAAAAAGAAAAACAAAAGTTTCTCTTTAAATATAGTACTAATATATATACAGGAGAAGGGGTTACTAGCCCCTTGCCTCCTGGCATTTAAGTCGCCTATTAAGACATGAATGGCTTATGGAGGAAGAATTCTGTTCCACTTCCCCATGGAGATGGATATGATATGCTAAATAAATAGATGAATAACTGTCACTGAATAAGTAAATAAACAAATAATTTCACCAAATACCAGTTTTGAAGAGTAAACAAATAAATACAAGTTACGGACTTGCCGCCTTCACGATGGGTAATTATTTTAAGTTTCATCTTCAAAGTAATTTCTTTTGCACCATCACAATGTCGAAATATCGTAAATAAAATCATAAGTCAAATGGCACCTGTACTTTGTTATGGAGCTCTGAGCCTAAGTTACAGATGCAGAAGACAATTAAATCACAGAACAGATGGGGACTGAATCCATGGTAGATCAGAAGACACATCCACACATTCCCACAAACGGATGAAACATTCTGGACTCAATTTGTTCGCTAATCTGGATTTCAGCGGTGATGGTGCTATTCTTTTCTGCTGTGCAATGTCCCATTTATAAGATATTAGATACCAGGATGAGTTCTGGATCAGTATTGACATGTACACACAAAAATTAATACGGGAGTTTGTGGCTGAAACTGCAAAACACACACGAGGAACAGTTGTAATAGATTATTTTTTTTTTTATTATCACACTGGCCGATTCCCACCAAGGCAGGGTGGCCCGAAAAAGAAAAACTTTCACCATCATTCACTCCATCACTGACTTACCAGAAGGGTGCTTTACACTACAGTTTTTAAACTGCAACATTAACACCCCTCCTTCAGAGTGCAGGCACTGTACTTCCCATCTCCAGGACTCAAGTCCGGCCTGCCGGTTTCCCTGAACCCCTTCATATATGTTACTTTGCTCACACTCCAACAGCACATCAAGTATTAAAAACCATTTGTCTCCATTCACTCCTATCAAACACACTCACGCATGCCTGCTGGAAGTCCAAGCCCCTCGCACACAAAACCTCCTTTACCCCCTCCCTCCAACCTTTCCTAGGCCGACCCCTACCCCGCCTTCCTTCCACTACAGACTGAAACACTCTTGAAGTCACTCTGTTTCGCTCCATTCTCTCTATATGTCCGAACCACCTCAACAACCCTTCCTCAGCCCTCTGGACAACAGTTTTGGTAATCCCGCACCTCCTCCTAACTTCAAAACTACGAATTCTCTGCATTATATTCACACCACACATTGCCCTCAGACATGACATCTCCACTGCCTCCAGCCTTCTCCTCGCTGCAACATTCATCACCCATGCTTCACACCCATAAGAGCGTTGGTAAAACTATACTCTCATACATTCCCCTCTTTACCTCCAAGGACAAAGTTCTTTGTCTCCACAGACTCCTAAGTGCACCACTCACCCTTTTCCCCTCATCAATTCTATGATTCACCTCATCTTTCATAGACTCATTCGCTGACACATCCACTCCCAAATATCTGAATACATTCACCTCCTCCATACTCTCTCCCTCCAATCTGATATCCAATCTTTCATCACCTAATCTTTTTGTTATCCTCATAACCTTACTCTTTCTTGTATTCACTTTTAATTTTCTTCTTTTGCACACCAAATTCATCCACCAATCTCTGCAACTTCTCTTCAGAATCTCCCAAGAGCACAGTGTCATCAGCAAAGAGCAGCTGTGACAACTCCCATTTTGTGTGTGATTCTTTATCTTTTAACTCCACGCCTCTTGCCAAGACCCTCGCATTTACTTCTCTTACAACCCCATCTATAAATATATTAAACAACCACGGTGACATCACACATCCTTGTCTAAGGCCTACCTTTACTGGGAAAAAATTTCCCTCTTTCCTACATACTCTAACTTGAGCCTCACTATCCTCGTAAAAACTCTTCACTGCTTTCAGTAACCTACCTCCTACACCATACACTTGCAACATCTGCCACATTGCCCCCCTATCCACCCTGTCATACGCCTTTTCCAAATCCATAAATGCCACAAAGACCTCTTTAGCCTTATCTAAATACTGTTCACTTATATGTTTCACTGTAAACACCTGGTCCACACACCCCCTACCTTTCCTAAAGCCTCCTTGTTCATCTGCTATCCTATTCTCCGTCTTACTCTTAATTCTTTCAATTATAACTCTACCATACACCTTACCAGGTACACTCAACAGACTTATCTACCCTAAGAGAATAACTGCAGAATGATACATAGCATCAGAACTTGGAGAGAAATGGTATAAAATACCAACATGATGGTAAAACACACAATGCAGTGTAATGAGACCATTTACTGACATCTTTTTTGCCTATACAGTGAGCCTTTTCAAGCAACTTGTTCTTTCCTGCAAGTTGACCTGCAAATGGACTCACAGGGAGTCAATTTGCAGGTCACTCATTTACATAGAGGTTTGTCTCAGTAGCTATATCTGTCTTGAATGATAAAGTAGTCCAGTTAGATTGAACAATCTGTTAACTTCAATGCACTGTTTATATATAAACATCACTATATCTTCTTCTTTCATTGCACCAGCCATATGCCACCAAAGCAGGGTGGCCCAAAAAGAAAACAAAAGTTTCTTTTTAACTTTAGTAATGTATACAGGAGAAGGGATTACTAGCCCCTTACTCCCAGTACGTTAGTCACCTCTTTACTACATGCATGGCTTACGGAGGAAGAATTCTGTTCCACTTCCCCATGGAGAATAAACATCATTATATCGTTCATTGAGAATTCATAACCCACAAATTTTTAAAAAATTTAGATACCATTTCAGTCTATCTGGGATTATTATCATCTGTAATTAAGAAAGGAGTGAGGGGGGCTATTTTATACAAATCAATATTTCACACGAGAAAATGATGGAACAAATATGAAATCAAGAGGAACACTTACTGGCAGCGAAGAGCACGATTCTCTGCAATGATGGCATCAGATTCTTTACTCGATTTCTCAAGCAGTGCAGTGAGCGAGGCTAGAGCTGCAGGCGATGGTGGCTTCTTTTGTAAATTTTTCGCATTAGGAATTGGATGCACATTTGCTTGTGCTGCTCCAGTAGTGCCAGCATTTCGACTGTGATTGATCTATAAAAGGTGATTTTTGTTTTACATTCTCATTACATAAATCAGATGAAGTTTAAATAATAATCAATTAATTAGTAAAGGCAGTGGAGAAGTCATGCTTGAGAGCAAGGTAAGGAGTGAATATTACCTAAAGAATTCAGACTGTAGTACTCAGAAGACAGTGTGAGGTTATGAAAGGTGTAATTCAGAGGGCAGAGAAGGGACTATTGAGGTGGTTTAGACATTTAAACAGGATGTGAGTATGATGGCATACAATACTGACAAGATGATAAATAAGACATGGGCAACAGTTAGGTAACTTCATTCCAAAATATTTCGCCCACACAGAAGGCTTCTTCAGCCGAATACAAAGGCAACACAAACATCTCTACTGTTTGTGTTGCCTCTGTACGTGACTGAAGAAGCTTACTGTGTCGATGAAATATTTCGGAATAACGATACTTAACTGTTAAACGTGTCTTACTTAACACCATTTAGATAGGACGGAGCATAATAAAATGATTAAGATGATGTATAAGTGTGATGTATAAGCAGTGGAGATGTCATGTCTGAGGGCAATGTGTGATGTGAATATAATGCAGAGAATTCGTAGTTTGGAAGTTAGGAGGAGGTGCGGGATTACCAAAACTGTTGTCCAGAGGGCTGAGGAGGGGTTGCTGAGGTGGTTCGGACATGTGGAGAGAATGGAGCGAAACAGAATAACTTCAAGAGTGTATCAGTCTGTAGTGGAAGGAAGGCGGGGTAGGGGTCGGCCTAGGAAAGGTTGGAGGGAGGGGGTAAAGGAGGTTTTGTGTGCGAGGGGCTTGGACTTCCAGCAGGCATGCGTGAGCGTGTTTGATAGGAGTGAATGGAGACAAATGGTTTTTAATACATGACGTGCTGTTGGAGTGTGAGCAAAGTAACATTTATGAAGGGGTTCAGGGAAACCGGCAGGCCGGACTTGAGTCCTGGAGATGGGAAGTACAGTGCCTGCACTCTGAAGGAGGGGTGTTAATGTTGCAGTTTAAGAACTGTAGTGTAAAGCACCCTTCTGGCAAGACAGTGATGGAGTGAATGATGGTGAAAGTTTTTCTTTTTCGGGCCACCCTGCCTTGGTGGGAATCGGCCAGTGTGATAATATTTTTTTATTATTTTTTATTATCACACTGGCCGATTCCCACCAAGGCAGGGTGGCCCGAAAAAGAAAAACTTTCACCATCATTCACTCCATCACTGTCTTGCCAGAAGGGTGCTTTACACTACAGTTTTTAAACTGCAACATTAACACCCCTCCTTCAGAGTGCAAGCACTGTACTTCCCATCTCCAGGACTCAAGTCCGGCATGCCGGTTTCCCTGAACCCCTTCATAAATGTTACTTTGCTCACACTCCAACAACACGTCAAGTATTAAAAACCATTTGTCTCCATTCACTCCTATCAAACACGCGTGATAATAATAATAATAAAATAAATAAGTGTGGGGTCAAAGGAAGCAGGGGTAGAGGGTCATTCCAAGAGGGGTTGAAGCAGAGGTCAGCAACCTATGGGCCAAGGGCCAGATTTGGCCCATAACCCAAAATACTGCAGCCTGCAGTCCTTAAGAGAAATATTATATTAACCCAGCCCACAGGCTTTTTTTTTTTTTTTTTTTTTGAGGACTTTCATCATCTTGAATTCAAGAACAAGCAGAGAGACTGAAGCTTGGCAAAACTATGATCAGCTGTGGTGGGAAACAACTCTCTATTCTTTTTGCATCAATGTTGTTACAAGCCCGTATACAAGTCTACATTTTTTTTTGTTATTAACACTGCAACATTAACACCCCTCCTTCAGAGTGTAGACACTGTACTTCCCATCTCCAGGACTCAAGTTCGGCCTGGCGGTTTCCCTGAATCCCTTCATAAATGTTACTTTGCTCCCACTCCAACAGCACGTCAAGTATTAAAAACCATCTGTCTCCATTCACTCCTATCAAATACGCTTGCTGGAAGTCCAAGCCCCTTGCACACAAAGCCTCCTTTACCCCCTCCCTCCAACCCTTCCTAGGTCGACCCCTACCCCGCCTTCCCTCCACTACAGATTTATACACTCTCGAAGTCATTCTGTTTAGTTCCATTCTCTCTACATGTCAGAACCACCTCAACAACCCCTCCTCAGCCCTCTGGATAATAGCTTTGATAATCCCACACCTTCTCCTAATTTCCGAACTACGAATTCTCTGCATTATATATTCACACCACACAGTGCCCTCAGACATGGGATCTCCACTGCCTCCAGTCTTCTCCTCGTTGCAATATTCATCACCCATGCTTCACACCCATACAAGAGTGTTGGTACAACTATACTCTCATACATTCCTCTTTTTGCTTCCATGGACAAAGTTCTTTGTCTCCACAGACTCCAAAGTGCACCACTCACCCTTTTTCCCTCATCAATTCTGTGATTCACCTCATCCTTCATAGACCCATCTGCTGACATGTCCACTCCTAAATATCTGAATACATTCACCTCCATACTCTCTCCCTCCAATCTGATATCCAGTCTTTCGTCACCTAATCTTTTTATCTTCATAACCTTACTTTTTCCTGTATTCACTTTTAATTTTCTTCTTTTACATACCCTACCAAATTCGTCCACCAACCTCTGCAACTTCTCTTCAGAATTTCCCAAAAGCACCGTGTCATCAGCAAAGAGCAACTGTGACAACTCCCACTTTGTGTTTGATTCATTATCTTTTAACTTCACACCTCTTGCCAAGACTCTAGCATTCACTTCTCTTACAACCCCATCTATAAATATACTGAACAACCATGGTGACATCACACATCCTTGTCTAAGGCCTACTTTTAAAATAATCTCCCTCTCTCCTACATACTCTAACCTGAGCCTTCCTATCCTTGTAACAACACATATGTGTGTGTTTAAAATTAAAAAAAAAAAAAAAAATACCCCAAAAATGAAAATAAAAAAATATTTAGAATATTGGCAGTTTGGAGGGATATGTTGTGTATCTTTATACGTATATGCTTCTAAACTGTTGTATTCTGAGCACCTTTGCAAAAACAGTGATAATGTGTGAGTGTGGTGAAAGTGTTGAATGATGATGAAAGTATTTTCTTTTTGGGGATTTTCTTTCTTTTTTGGGTCACCCTGCCTCGGTGGGAGACGGCCGACTTGTTGAAAAAAAAAAAAAAAAAAATTAGAATATTAATATATTTTTAATAGTAATTATCATACATATAAATATATGTTAAAGTTTAGAGTATATTATTATTATTTCTATTTATTAACTATGGCGACAGGTGTGGCCTGCCATCTGCTCACAGACATGGGCCCTGGCTCCTAGGCAGACCAAGGCTGCTGACCCCTGGATTAAAGGAAGGATATGAAAGAGGTTTTAAGTGGTATGGGCAGGAAATGTTTCTGTTAATACCTGCCTTCCCCATTACATTCTCAAATGCTCCAAAATTCGGAACACCCATGACTTGACCTAACTTTTGCTGTCTCCTCTCCTTCTGCTTCATTTGCCTTTTGCATTTTCTACTTCTTCGCCTTTCCTATCTTCTGCCTTGGTAAGTTTTGTCTGGTTTCTTCCTGTGAGGATTTTGCCCTAAGCCATGGGCCAGTAGCTACTACCACTACTACTACCATCACCGCAGCTGTCACTATTACTGTTGTGCTCCTCCTCCTACCTTCCCTCATTTTGTCTACTAGCCTTCCCTGCCTCTTACTCTCAATTATGACTGGACAATGGTCCAGGATAGATGAAAACATCATCCTGATGTTCCTTTCCTAAGCGCAGGATTTAGGTGAATAAAAACCTGCTTCCCTCCCACAATAAATCTTAACTAGAATATCTCCTCATCAGTAATAAATAACCAAGCCCTGAAAACAAAGAAATCATAACGACAAAATATAATACCACTTATGGCACATTTATTAACAGTAATTCCCTATGCTAATGGTACTTACACCTTATAACTCATGGATGAGTTTATAAGTTCTGGCCAAATTCAAATCATCAGTCAGAACTATGACAAAAGCTCTATGAAGCGAGACCAGCACTGTAATATTAAAGGATGCAAAAAAGCTTACAGCAATTTCCATTATCTTCCATATATCCTTTTGACGCTGCTTCTGAAGAGAAGATATATGTTGTGCTGTTCTAGCTGTGTCCTGCAGCACTGTCTCTAGAGGGGAGGAAAGTGCTGCAACTTCACTGCAGCATTCACTCTGCTTTCTGAAATACAGTCATGATTATAACAACATAAATAACATAAATAATATTGGCAGTTTGGAGGGATATGTTGTGTATCTTTATATGTGTATGCTTCTAAACTGTTGTATTCTGAGCACCTCTGCAAAAACAGTGATAATGTGCGAGTGTGGTGAAAGCGTTGAATGATGATGAAAGTATTTTCTTTTTGGGGATTTTCTTTCTTTTTTGGGTCACCCTGCCTCGGTGGGAGATGGCCGACTTGTTGAAAAAAAAAAAAAAAACAATAATAATACATTATCATCATCCTAATAATAATAATAATAATAATAATAATAATAATAATAATAATACCTAGGTAGTAGGTTGATAGACAGCAACCGCCCAGGGAGGTACTACCGTCCTGCCAAGTGAGTGTAAAACGAAAGCCTGTAATTGTTTTGCATGATGGTAGGATTGCTGGTGTCCTTTTTTCTGTCTCATGAACATGCAAGATTTCAGGTAGGTCTTGCTACTTCTACTTACACTTACGTCACACTACACATACATGTACAAGCACATATATACACACCCCTCTGGGTTTTCTTCTATTTTCTTTCTACTTCTTATTCTTGTTTATTTCCTCTTATCTCTATGTTGAAGTGGAACAGAATTCTTCCTCCGTAAGCCATGCATGTTGTAAGAGGCGACTAAAATGCCGGGAGCAAGGGGCTAGTAACCCCTTCTCCTGTATAAATTACTAAATTTGAAAAGAGAATCTTTTGTTTTTCTTTTTGGGCCACCCTGCCTCGGTGGGATACGGCCGGTTTGTTGAAAAAAAATAATAATAATAATAATAATAATAATGGGGATGTGGAACAGAATTCTTCCTTCTTAAGCTATGCGTTTCGTAAGAGATGACTAAAATACTGGGAGCAAAGGGCTAGTAACCCCTTCTCCTGTATAAATTACTAAATTTAATAAGAGAAACTTTCGTTTTTCTTTTTGGGCCACCCTGCCTTGGTAGGATACGGCTGGTTTGTTGAAAAAAAAAAATAACGATAATACATGATCATCATCATCCTAATAATAATAATAATGGGGATGTGGAATAGAATTCTTCCTCCGTAAGCTATGCGTGTCGTAAGAGGCGACTAAAATGCTGGATGCAAGGGGCTAGTAACCCCTTCTCCTGTATAAATCACTAAATTTAAAAAGAGATACAGCCAGTTTGTTGAAAGAAGAAGAAGAAGAATAAGAAGAATGGTGGGATACAGGTTAGGGTATGTAGGAGAGAGGGAGATTATTTTTCCATAAAAGTAGGGCTTAGACAGAGATGCGTGATGTCCCCATGGCTGTTTAACATATTTATAGATGGGGTTGTGAAAGAAGTAAATGTTATGATACAGCCTCTCCTCACTTAGCGATATACTCATTTACCGATGACTTGGACTAACGATAGGCTCTCTGACCAGTATGCATACCTAAATAATGTATATTAGAGATATTTCCTCTACTCTATTTATTATAATATATAGTACACTACTGTATAAGCATTTAAAAGTATACCAGAAATGTTATAAATGGTGAAAAGGTGACATTAACACAATATCAAAGATAGTTGACACAAACTCACTGCCATTATAGTATGCTCCTCATTTACTGACGTGGTCTTAGGAACAGAACTCCATTGTTAAGTGAGGAGAGGCTGTACTTCCATTAAACTCCATCATCCATCTCTCACTCTATTTTTTTTTTTAACACGTTGGCCATTTCCCACCAAGGCAGGGTGACCCAAAAAGAAAGAAACCTTTATCATTCAACACTTTCACCATCACTCATACATAATCACTGTCTTTGCAGAGACGCTCAGATACGACAGCTTGGACGTCCTCCAAACTGCCAATATCCCAAACCCTTCCTTTAAAGTGCAGGCATTGTACTTCAAACTTCCAGGACTCAAGTCCAGCTAATTTATTTATTTATTTTACAATTATTATCAGTGACATTCATTGCTTATCTTCTTCATAATTACTGCATCATCCATAAACAAATGCATATAGAATTTCATGCTTTCTGGGAAGTCCTTCATAAGTACAAGTTAAAAGCCTTCAACACAGGAGAGATGTGGGTGGCCTTACTGTTATGTACAAGGCCAATATTGTCTAAGTACCACACTTGGATCCACTTCGAGGACAGCGTGAGGAAAGTTTCTATACCACAAGACAGGAAGAAAGCAGCAACTTTACTCTGGCTGTACCCCTCTCCAGAATATCACTTCATCTGAGATCATTTATCCCCAGGATGACTCGAGTATGGAACACATTCGTGCAGCAATATGATTTCAATGAGATAAAGTCAGTTGATCAAATGAAAATGCTGGCCCACAGATGACTCCAAATTCATCCTTTTCCCTACTTGTATGTCTCACAACACTAAAAATGCTTTCAAATGAGCTGATGTAGGTAACAGCTCTTAGCTTGTCAATAAAGTTAGGAATCCTTAACCTATAAGAAAATTTTTTTTTATCTAATCAAATACAGAGCTCTGTGTGGTCTATTTCAGACATTTTCCTATGAGGACATTTTTCTTATCGCTGCTTGTGTTTTCCTCTATACAGAACTTTTATCATTCATTGTAATGGATTTCTTTTTATTCCCGCTATGTTTAGAGCTTTCAGATTAGTCTTTTATGGGAAAACTCTATATCTCAGACCTGAATTCCTGAAGTGGGAAGTACAGTGCCTGCACTCTGAAGGATGACTGGAGAAGTTTTGATTCAGAGTCATTTGAATGCAATGTTCATGCAATTCTGATAAGGTAGCAACTGAAAGATTGTGAATGTGATTCTTTCTTGAGGTTACCCTCTTGTACTGGAAAATGGCTAATGTGTTAAAAGAAAAATTTACAGCTGTTACTGAAAAAAATAAAAGAAAAAATACTCACTCCACATGTTTGTAGAGATCCTGTTGTAGTCTGTCCCTCTTTCTCAATGCCTGAAGCAGCAGCTTACACATGTCAGTGTTATCATGTGGTGTTGTCCGCTGCTCTTTATTACGGCGTCGGAGGTTGCAGTACAGTTCTTCTCCAGCCGTCAACCTAAAATGGGAAAAAATACTGAAATAAGCATTCTGAAATTATATAAATAAGAAGGATAGTGCCTGCACTCTTAAGGAGGTGTGTGAATTTTGCAGTCAGAAAGTAATCCTAATTATGATGTTAACACATTTCAAAAGAGACAGTGATTGAATGAATAATGGTTAATGTGCTTCCTTCTTTGACTCACCTTACCATGGTGGAAGGTAGCCATTATGGTAAAAAAAAAGTTAAATCATCAATTTAAAAAACACAAATACACTGAATTTGGTCTTATGATAATTTTACAAGGTTACCAAATATCTTTCCCGATTAGTGTTAATTTGCAAAAGAAAAAGAAATAAACCTGGAGTTAAACTATAATTTTTTTTCAAAACGGTCCTGCTTTATGCAATGCTACTAGGTAACCTTATACATGTATATATATTTTTTTCAACAAGTCAGCCATCTCCCACCGAGGCAGGATGACCCAAAAAGAAAGAAAATCCCCAAAAAGAAAATACTTTCATCATCATTTAACACTTTCACCTCACTCACACATAATCACTGTTTTTGCAGAGGCACCCAGATACAACAGTTTAGAAGCATATATAGAGAGATATAGCATATCCTTACAAACTGTCAATATCCCAAACCCCTCCTTTAAAGTGTAGGCATTGTACTTCCCATTTCCAGTACTCAAGTCCGGCTATATAAAAATAACCAGTTTTTCTTCTTTTTCTTTTTAGTAGGCTATACAGGAAAAGGGGATACAAGCCCATTGTTCCCGGCAACAAACCGGCCATATCCCACTGAGGCAGGGTGGCCCAAAAAGAAAAACGAAAGTTTCTCTTTTTAAATTTAGTAATTTATACAGGAGAAGGGGCTACTAGCCCCTTGCTCTGAAGCATATATGTGAACAGTATTTAGATAAAGGTAGGAAAGTTTTCATTGCATTTATGGATTTAGAAAAGGCATATGATAGAGTGGATAGGGGATCAATGTGGCAGATGTTGCAAGTATATGGAATAGGTAGCAAGTTACTAAATGCTGTAAAGAGTTTTTTTGAGGATAGTGAGGCTCAGGTTAGGGTGTGTAGAAGAGGGGGAGACTACTTCCTGGTAAAAGTAGGTCTTAGACAGGGATGTGTAATGTCACCATGGTAGTTTAATATATTTATAGATGGGGTTGTAAAAGAAGTAAATTATGGGGAATCAAATATAAAATGGGAATTGACACAGTTACTCTTTGCTGATGATACTGTGTTATGGGAGATTCTAAAGAAAAATTGCAAAGGTTAGTGGACGAGTTTGGGAGTGTGTGTAAAGGTAGAAAGTTGAGAGTGAACATAGAAAAGAGTAAGGTGATGAGGGAGGGCCACCGCCGGGTCGCCATCTGGAGAAGACACGGGCCAGAGTACCGGCAAATCCCAAATGAATGAATGAATGGTGATGAGGGCATCAAATGATTTAGATAAAGAAAAATTGGATATCAAATTGGGGAGGAGGAGTATAGAAGAAGTGAATGTTTTCAGATACTTGAGAGTTGACGTGTTGGCGGATGGATTTATGAAGGATGAGGTTAATCATAGAATTGATGAAGAAAAAAGGGTGAGTGGTGGGTTGAGGTATATGTGGAGTCAAAAAACGTTATCTATGGAGGCAAAGAAGGGAATGTATGAAAGTATAGTAGTACCAACACTCTTATATGGGTGTGAAGCTTGGGCTGTGAATGCAGCAGCGAGGAGGCGGTTGGAGGCAGTGGAGATGTCCTGTTTAAGGGCAATGTGTGGTGTAAATATTATGCAGAAAATTCAGAGTGTGGAAATTAGGAGAAGGTAGGGAGTTAATAAAAGTATTAGTCAGAGGGCTGAAGAGGGGTTGTTGAGGTGGTTTGGTCATTTAGAGAGAATGGATCAAAGTAGAATGACATGGAGAGCATTTAAATCTGTAGGAGAAGGAAGGCGGGGTAGGGGTCGTCCTCGAAAAGGTTGGAAGGAAGGGGTAAGGGAGGTTTTGTGGGCGAGGGGCTTGGACTTCCAGCAGGCGTGCATGAGCGTGTTCGATAGGAGTGAATGGAGACGAATGGTATTTGGGACCTGACGATCTATTGGAGTGTGAGCAGGGTAATATTTAGTGAAGGGATTCAGGGAAACCGGTTATTTTTATATAGGTGGACTTGAGTCCTGGAAATGGGAAGTACAATGCCTGCACTCTAAAGGAGGGGTTTTGGGATATTAGCAGTTTGGAGGGATATGTTGTGTATCTTTATTCGTATATGCTTCTAAATTGTTGTGTTCTGAGCACCTCTGCAAAAACAGTGATTATGTGTGAGTGAGGTGAAAGTGTTGAACGATGATGAAAGTATTTTCTTTTTGGGTCACCCTGCCTCAGTGGGAGACGGCCGACTTGTTGAAAAAAAAAAAAAAAAAAAATTCAGGGAAACCGGTTATTTTTATATCGCTGGACTTGAGTCCTGAAAATGGGAAGTACAATGCCTGCACTTTAAAGGAGGGGTTTAGGGTATTGGCAGTTTGGAGGGATATGTTGTGTATCTTTATATGTATATGCTTCTAAACTGTTGTATTCTGAGCATCTCTGCAAAAACAGTGATTATGTGTGAGTGAGGTGAAAGTATTGAATGATGATGAAAGTATTTTCTTTTTGGGGATTTTCTTTCTTTTTGGGTCACCCTGCTTCAGTGGGAGGCAGCCGACTTCTTAAAAAAAAAAAAAAAAAAAAAAAAAAAAAAAATTGCTCTCAGTGGAATTTTGTCCAGTTGGAGGCACATGCTCAGTTGTGGCAACAGCTGAAATTTACCTTTCATTTTTAAAGTAGTATACCCAAAATATGTAAGATTTATTGAAATTTACTTACACATAATAAAGCAACTGACAAAATTAGGGTGACTTACACAGAATCGAGAGAGTCACTAGCACGTGCACGGGCAAACGGTGAGCACTGAAGCTCCAATATGCGTGTGTTAAGAGCAGTGAGAGAGCCCTCTAACTGCTGCACTCGTTCCACCACAGCATGCACCTGCCTCAGTGTGACTTCTCCCATCTCACGCCAGCCACTGTATAGCTTCTCTGAAGCTGAAAAATAATGACCAGAGCAAGACTGGAAAAGCATATCAGAAAACACAAACATCATTTTAGACTTAAGAACCCATGTCTAGTGCTTAAGTAATCTTTAAGTGTTAGGATTACTTCTGCCTGAAATGAATCACATGCTAGTCGCTTTCTTTTGTGCTTAACAATATTTCATTACATGTAAGCTACATTACCTGCATACTCCAGAAGATAAATAAATTTATTATTTTTGGCCATAAAGAAGGGTGGGGTGGGTGTTCTTGTACAAAAATACACTAATCAATCAATTAACAGGATGCCTGGAGCAATCTCATACAAACAGCAGATAAGATCTTTAAAAGAATTGCAACAAAAACAGTGAAAGTGGACTCCATGTAGAGATTTAAAAACTAATAATCCAGAACTCAAGCATGTTTCTTTTTTGGGTCACCCTGCCTCGGTGGGAGGCAGCCAGTGTGTTAAAAAAAAAAAAGCCAGACAAAAGAAAATATTTCACTAAATTTCTCAATGAACAACTAAATTATAAGACACTTGTGCAATACTTGTGTATTGTTATTCTGGAAACATTTCATCATCCAGTGGCTTCTTCAGATCAATGCAGAGAAGAACGGTGGAAGATGAGGAGTGTGAGGTAATCAGTCTTGATGTGCTCAGTCAATCAATCTTGATAAAAGTGCAGCATATTCCAGAACAAAGAGCCCAAAGTGTTGCACAACTGTCTTATTTATAAACTTGCACATTTTCTAAACTATTTATTTAAACTATATTATAGACACTTACTTAACCTTCCTGATGAAGCTTGCTCATCATAAAAATCAAGGTCGGTATTGAGGGCTTCCATGAAGAGATGATGACGTGCCTGCAACTTTGCAATATCACTAAGCATTCTCTGGCCAGTTTTTGTCAGCTGAGCATGCCCAGACATTAGATGGAGCCTGCAAAATATAAAAACAGTAATAACCAAGAAAAGTATAGTAACACTCAACAAAACTGGTGTGGGAGACTGCATCACTTGTGCTCATCAGCAAGCAGATCCAAAACAAAAAATGATGGAGTGTACTACTCAAATTTTAAGCACTATTTATTGTTGCAAAAAAAGTGATAATGTGCGAGTGTGGTGAAAGTGTTGAATGATGATGAAAGTATTTTCTTTTTGGGGATTTTCTTTCTTTTTTGGGTCACCCTGCCTCGGTGGGAGACGGCCGACTTGTTGAAAAAAAAAAAAAAAATAAGATTTTCACAAAGTTTTTGTTTGTGCTTTTTGAACTGCATTACAACAAAATTATACTATAAGAAGTTGCACTGAAAGAGGATTTACTGTACTGCTCAGCATTTGTTTTAACAAATCATGGAACAAGTGAGACAAGTGAATCCTAAAACTTGTTTTAACAGTAAAATATTAAACCTTTACTAAAACAATTTTTTCACAAACAAATACTTTAACTACTAACATGGACACCTTCTGTGCTTGCGTCAGGAGGGTCAGGAGCCGGGCCTCACGGTGGAGGAAGAAGATAGCGTGTGCCCACATCCTGCGTTGGGTCTGGAAATCAACGGTTGTCCGTGGCTCACGCAACATTGCTTCCACCAGGGGTGGGAAGTGTGGTGGTACCTGAGGTCGAGTCATACCTTCAGCAAAGATATACAATAGCCACTCATCCTCATCCTGTAACAAAGAAAAAAACAGGTTACACAAAAAAATTATCTTTTTCTCTCTCTCTCTCTCTCTCTCTCTCTCTCTCTCTCATTTCAACAAAGTAGGAAGGCACTTGCAAGAGAAATAAACACAAAAGAAATTTTGGATGATACCAAATGAAGTGGATAATCAAGTTAAGCTATAAACAAGCCTATTTATTATTAACACATATGGAACTTTTAATTTAAGCTTAACAGAAAATATGTGAATTCAAAAAATTTACAGTGTGTTTTGTTTACTATAAAATCAAATACAGTAATTATGAAAATAAAATATCATATTAATGGTATATATACAATACTGATAAACTACATGCATGTGCAACAGTTGGGTATCTTTACTGTTGGAATGTTTTGCCTGCTTGGCAGGCTTCTTCAGTCCAATACAGAGGTGACTTAAATATTGAAGACAGAAGAAGCAGAGGAGAGGTAAATGAGGTGGTCAGTCCCTCAGCCTTGAAGAAGTGCAGTAATTTTGAGGTGGTTAGTCCCTCAGCCTTAAAGAAGTACAGTAATTTTGAGGTGGTCAGTCCCTCAGCCTTGAAGAAGTACAGTAATTTTGAGGTGGTCAGTCCCTCAGCCTTAAAGAAGTACAGTAATTTTGAGGTGGTCAGTCCCTCAGCCTTGAAGAAGTACAGTAATTTTGAGGTGGTCAGTCCCTCAGCCCTCAGCCTTGAAGAAGTACAGTAATTTTGAGGTGGTCAGCCCCTCAGTCAGCGTTCAGCTCCACAGCCTCGATCATAGAATACTATATGTACAGAACACACAATACAAATATTAACCCAGTGCTAAAACTCTTCTTGTAGAGTCAGAGCAAAATGCATAGATACAATACAATGAAAAATATCTTTGATATTCCACATATTCAAGTCAACCTGAGTAAAATCTCCATGGAAATGAAAGGCCCAAAAATGAGGAACTTTCTACCATAAGATACAAAAAAAAAATCCCTATCTGCCAACCTCTTGAAAAATATTATCCAGAAAGATCTCCTGAATTTAATGTAAATTTACATGGAATGAATATGAAGAGAGGCTAGAGGCAGTGGAGATGTCTGAGAGCAACAGGCAGGGTAAACAGAGAGATTTCAGAGCTTAGAAATTAGAAGATGGTGCAGGGCTAAGGAGTTGTTGAAGTGATTTGGGCATTTAGATAGATTGGAGAAGTATAGCATAACCAAGAGGGTGTATAAATTAGGGGTGGGAGGATGGAGGGATAGGGGTAGACCACAAAGTTTTGAGTGTCAGGGATCTGATCATCCAGCAAGCTAGGGCATGTTATAACAGAGTGAGTAAAGTAAGTGATTTTTATGGCTTGCATAACATTTATGAAGGAAACTGGGTTGCCAGACTTGAGACCTGGAGGTGGGAAGTATGGTGCCTACACTCTGAAAGAAGGGTGGAGATGTTCCATTTTAGGCCATATGAATCATGATGTCTGAGCACTTCCGGCAAGATACCTATTGGATGAATAATGGTGAAAGTGTTTCTTATTTCTGTCACCATAACTTGGTGGGAGACGGCCAATGCAAAAAAAAAAATGCAAATTTAATAACAATTGATTGAAAGACTGCTCATTAATCTCACACAGACTTCTCATGCCTTTAGAGAACAAAACAAAAGCACTATGCCTATTATGTGGGAGCTTAACAATGCAGCATAGATGAGTGAGGCCCTGATTATTAATTTATTCAAATATTATTTTACTGCTAAAGTGAAGATGTATCTAGTCGGAAAGAACCTTGCATTCAAGGTTCTTCTGAGTCTTGATAATTTACATAATCATCCAGAAATTTTGAAGTCTCTGCTCCCAAATGTGCAGATTTTTTTTACCACCCAATACATCTTTGATTCAATCACTGGACTGAGAGTTATTAAGACATTTATGTAATCCTAGTAGAGGTATTGGCGGGTATCAGCTAATTATAATCATATTGGTATTGGCCTAAAACTGAGCATTGGCATCAGAAATTTTTTTGATATCATCCCATTTCTAGCCCCTGTGCATATAAGATCATGGGAAAAGTTGTCACAGCAATGGATGACAGTTCAGACTGGAGTGTCAGAGTTCTGCCATACTTTTAACTTGGCAGATGTACTAAAACACACAAAGATGGGATGAATTGTTCCAATCAACTATAAATGCAGACTGGGGTAAATTATTTCCAAATGTTATGAATAATTTCTCAGGTTTCCGCCCCACCCCCTCACTAAGGAATTAAGTCCAGGAAATTGTAAATTGAGTGAGAGGTGAGGGTTCCGAAGACATGCAGGAAGATAATGTGAATGAACTGTTAGATGATGACGAAGAACCAACTGCAGAAGAAATACTGGAAGACCAAAATTCCCAGGGGGGGAGGGAGGGAGGGAGGGAGGGAGGGAGGGAGGGAGGGAGGGAGGGAGGGAGGGAGGGAAGGGAGGGAGGGAGGAGAGGGAGGAGGAGAGAGAGGAGAGAGAGAGAGGAGAGAGAGAGGAGAGAGGAGAGGAGAGAGAGAGAAGAGAGAGAGAGGAGAGAGAGAGAGGAGAGAGAGGAGAGAGAGAGAGAGAGAGAGAGGAGAGAGAGGAGAGAGAGAGAAGAGGAGAGAGAGGAAAAGAGGAGAGAGAGAGGAAGAGAGAGAGATAGAGATGAGGAGATAGAGATGAGAGATAGAGATAGAGATAGATAGAGAGAGAGAAGAGGAGAGATAGAGATGAGAGAGAGGAGAGGAGAGGGAGAGAGAGAGAGAGAGATAGAGAGAGAGATTGAGAGAGAAGAGATAGAGAGATAGAGATAGAGAGAGAGATAGATAGAGAGATAGATAGTGAGATAGAGAGATAGACAGATAGATAGATAGATAGATAGAAGAGAGAGAGAGAGAGAGAGAGAGAGAGAAAGATAGAGAGATAGAGATAGAGAGAGAGATAGATAGAGAGATAGATAGTGAGATAGAGAGATAGACAGATAGATAGATAGAGAGATAGAGAGAGAGATAGAGATAGAGAGAGAGATAGAGAGAGAGAGAGATAGAGAGAGAAAGATAGAGAGATAGAGATAGAGAGAGAGATAGATAGAGAGATAGATAGTGAGATAGAGAGATAGACAGATAGATAGATAGATAGAAAGAGAGAGAGTAGAGTAGGAGAGAGAGAGAGAGAGATAGAGAGATAGATAGAGAGATAGATAGATAGAGAGATAGATAGATAGAGAGATAGATAGAGACAGAGATAGATAGAGACAGAGATAGATAGAGACAGAGATAGATAGAGAGATAGACAGAGATAGATAGAATAGAATAGATAGAATAGATAGAATAGATAGAAAAGATAGAAGAGATAGAAGAGATAGAAGAGTAGGATGAGACAGAAGAACCTGGACGGAAACAGTTAACTCTATTAAAGTTACATGAGCAATTCCATGTTGCTGGTAAACTTGCAGACATTTTCACTGAAGAGCGCCCTGACACGTCTAGAAGTCTTATTCTGACACAGGGTCTGGAGTAGCTGATGAAGCCTTATCATCAACTGTGTAAAGTAGTACAGGGTAAAACAGAGTAGAGATGCATTACAGGATACTTCAGCACTCCAGTACAATCTTCAACTTCTGACAACTCTGTTTGTCATCAAAAGTACCATAACCATCCACATCAACACAAGAACTACAGTCATCCACCTCCGTCCAGTAGAGCCATATCAATCCTCTCCACACACTTGTATATCAATAAACAAGAGCAACCAGAATTTAAACCAAGATAAAATTGTTTCTTTAGATATTTTTGTAAAATTTTAAAAAATCTGTTTTTTTTTTTTTTTGATATCCTAAGAATGTAACCTTATTTTTCCTATATTTCTCTCTTCAGTTAACACTAATTCATATAGTGTTACCCTCTGGTTAACTAAGAACCTGCTGTATGTCCAAATAAATCTACTAATCTAGATTTCAAACAGCATTCATACTCAAGTATTTATTGTCACCACTAACTCTATCCCCGATACTTTAATATAACACTGGTCATCTCTCACTGAGGTAGGTAACTCGACAAAAGAAGAAAAACATTTACCATCATTTATTCAACTGCTGTCTTGCCAGAAGAATACTAGCAACACAGTTTAGACAGCCCTCCAAACTGCAACTGCCTCACCCCTCCCTCAAAGTGCAAATTCTATGGTTAGTATTTTACCTACAGGTTGTGTGCCATGCCAAGCAATGAGCATTGACAATGCAAACTTATGAATAATTAAAGGTATAGTATTCATGTAATGCCCTTCAGTAAAAAAAAAAAGTTGGATAATTGAATTTTGTAAATTTGGTAGTCTGACTGTATGTAATGATACATGACATGATAGGAATTACAGTGCCTGCACTCTAGAGGGGAGATGAGGATACTGCAGTTAGGAGGAATGAGGATGCTACAGTTAGGAATGTGGAGGAATGAGGATGCTGCATTATTGGGAAGATAAGGATGCTGCAATTAAGAGGAATAAGGATGCTGCAGTTAGGAGGAATGAAGATGCTGCAGTTAGGAGGAATGAGGATGCTGCAGTTAGGAGGAATGAGGATACTGCAGGTAGGAGGAATGAGGATGCTGCAGGTAGGAGGAATGAGGATGCTGCAGTTATGGAGGGATAAGGATGCTGCAGTTAAGAAGGGGGATGAGATTACTGCAATTAGAAGGACCCTCTGAACTGTGATGTCAGCAAGCTTCTGGCAAGACAGCTATTGAATGAATGACAATGAATGCATTTCCTCTTTTGTTTTTTTTTTTTTTTTGGTCACCCTACCTTGGTGGGAAATGGCTGGTGCGCTAAAATAAATAAATAAATGACCATCTTACTGGTGGAGCCCAGCACTGGATGGCTGATCGTGATGAATCAGGAGGCTGACCACGAGGAAGCAGTGGCCTCTGGTCTTCTATGGCCACTCCACTGTCTTGAGCCACCCATTGTTGAACCTCACACAGTGATGTTGCTTCTGATACTTCATACTCCAATAGCCGACACAAATCAACTACAAACACTTTGATCATCTGAAAAAATATAAATATCAAGAACTATATTACATAACTAGACACAGCAATACACAAGTTTCAATCCTTGGTAAATGTGTCATGTGATACAGTATTGAAAATACTGTAATCCTAGTCTCAAGGTGTATGCATGCCAAGTCTCAAGTGTACACTGATAAATAAAACAAGTTGACACTGACAGTGACATGGAACATACAAGTAATAAACAAATAATAAGGTATACTTTTCCCCAAATTTAGGCAGTCCATCCACCTACATTTTCTTCCATCACACCAGATTTATACAATATTAATGCCCTGAGCAGTAATAACAATGTCAACTACCTGTCAACAGTGAAATCTAATCTCAGGCTAAACAAGTGTACAGCTCTTGTTACTGATCACCTGTATGCCACAGGTATTATGCAAGTTCCTGCCATTCTTATAACTTTCAAACCATTCAGCACTATCCTTCATTCGACACTATCCTTTGTCCAACACTATTCTCCGACCAACACTATCCTTCATCTGACACCATCCTTCGTCTGATGCTATCCTTCGTCCGACACTATCCTTCGTCCGACACTATCTTTCATCCGACACTATCCTTTGTCCGGCACTATCCTTCATCTGACACTATCCTTCGTCCAACACTATCCTTCGTCTGACACTATCCTTCTGTCTTTTGAAGGCTCACCATCCTGCTCAAGCACAGTTTTAAAAGGCAGTTGAAGGACACTTTAAAGTGGGAGTACTTGATCAAACTTCACTATTGGAGAAATGTCAAAAAATAAAGATTTTCTATATTTGTTGTCTTTGAAAAGACATTTAAATTATTTAACAATTTAAAACTATTTGTGCCTTCATCCAACATATTGCAACAAAAGTAAGAAAACCTGTTGGCACAGTCTCTAAAATCCACTATTATTTACAGTACAAAATCTTAAGTCGCACAATCATAACTTGTATTTTCAAAATTATGTGATTAAATTACTTAATATTAAAACTGAAAAGATGGTTTTAATTTCTAACAGAAGCACACCCATTTCCATTAATGCACGTGGAAGCAGAATTCATTTCCAGTGGTGGTGCGCATTTCTGTTAAGGAGCTCTGCAGCAGGCAGGCCTGAGACCTTTGCAATATGCATTAGGCAATTCCATTATCTTAGGTACTTTGACTTAAAAACCTAATTAAAAAACCTATCATTATCATTATCACACAGAACATACATTATTTTTGTTACTCAAAATATATACTTTACCTTTTTATTAAGAATATCATTGACCATTGTAAAGGCAACTACTTGTTTGCTGCCATCCTCATTTTGTATCTGTCCTCGAACAGCAGGTTCCCACTCTAGGATAATTCGTAGCCACTCCTCTAGCCGAGTTCTGAAGTAATTGTAATGATGTATTAGCAAAAAATTATAATTAGTTGTCAATGAATCCTTGCATGATTAATTTTCAATGAAATCCCTATGGGATTAGTTATCAATGAATCTCTATATGTTATCAACAAATTATTACTGCATATGATTTGATGAATGGGACAATTGTGCAACATTTGGGAATCTTTACTGAGGAAATGTTTTGCCAGCCAGTGGCTTCTTCAGTCCAGAACAGAGAAGAATGGTGGAAGATGAGGAGTTTGAGGTAATCAGTCCCTCAGCCTGGAGTCAATGTGTCCAGTCCATCAATATCAAGATTGATGGACTGAACACAGACTCCAAGCTGAGGGACTGATGACTTCACCTCCTCCTCATCTTCCACCATTCTTCTCTGTATTAGACTGAAGAAGCCACTGGCTGGCGAAACTGTCCTCAATAAAGATTTCCAAATGTTGCGCATATGTCCCACTTTTTAATTTGTCGGTTTTCTAAACCATTTACATCACAGACATGATTAGTTACCAATAAATCCATACAAAAGTTATCAATGAATTTTATTGCTTTATAGCTGACTAATATCAAATTACAGTGGTGATCTAAGTATCATTAATACCTACAGAGATGTAGATCAACCTTTTCCAGGTAACAGTGTGGCATCACTACTCTCCTTATCATGACATAACCCATGACATGCTTCATTTTACGATACAGTGTTAAAACCCAAAAAAGAAAAAGTTCATTTCCATCTCTATCTTTTTAGTTAGTAGTACGGTATTTTAGTTGCCTTCCATGGCATGCATGTGTGTCTAGTCAATGATCCAAATTGGACAGAAATGTCATGAGCTTCTTTCTCCTATATGCAGGTTATCTATGTATCATGCACATGTTCACAAGGAAATGACTCATACCCCTTCCCACAGGGAGGAGAATAATATACCTATTTATGCCTCAGTGGGAGACGGCCGACTTGTTGAAAAAAAAAAAAAAAAAAAATATACATTTCACCCTGCCTCGGTGGGAGACGGCCGATTTGTTGAAAAAAAAAAAAAAAAAAATACATGTAAAGTTGCATGTAGTAGGCTGGTAGACAGCAACCACCCAGGGAGGTACTACCGTCCTGCCAAGCGAGTGTAAAACGAAAGCCTGTAATTGTTTTGCATGATGGTAGGATTGCTGGCATCTTTTTTCTGACTCATAAACATGCAAGATTTCAGGTACGTCTTGCTACTTCTTCTTACACTTAGGTCACACTACACATACATGTACAAGCATATATATACTTACATACCCCTCTGGGTTTTCTTCTATTTTCTTTCTAGTTCTTGTTCTTGTTTATTTCCTCTTATCTCCATGGGGAAGTGGAACAGAATTCTTCCTCCGTAAGCCAAGCGTGTCGTAAGAGGCGACTAAAATGCCGGGAGCAAAGGGCTAGTAACCCCTTCTCCTGTATATATTACTAAATGTAAAAGGAGAAACTTTCGTTTTTCCTTTTGGGCCACCCCGCCTCGGTGGGATATGGCCGGTGTGTTGAAAGAAAGAAAGAAACATTACTAAAGTTAAAAAGAAAAACTTTTGTTTTTCTTTTTTGGACCGGCTGTATCCCACCTTGGTGGGATACAGCCGGTGAGTTGAAAGAAGATGTACATGTAAAGATGACCTTTTTGCATGTAAAAGAACAGAGTTGAGCCTACAGTAACAAATTTTCAGTTTACAATACTTTTTTTTTTAACACTGGCTGTCTCCCACCGAGGCAGGATGACCCAAAAAAGAAACACTCTCACCATCATTCACACTATCATTGTCTTGCCACAGGTGCATAGATACAACAGTTTACTTTTCCAGGGCTCATATAACTCCCTCCTCATGGAGGTAGAAAAATTCTAATCTGATTTAGCTGACATATAACAAGAGAAAAATACCTGTCCACTGAATTAGTTAGTGCTTATGTATATGATGTACTTACCTAAGAGGGGACGAGATATGAGATTCAGGGAACATGTGTGATGAAAACTGCACTTCACCATTTCGTCCTTCATACACACAAACATGGTGAGATTGTTTTGTTCGCACTCGCTTCATCCTGAAGATAATGCTATCAATGAGTATTTCTAATTTTATAAGGTTACAACTGAATTTGAAAATAATGTGACCAGTGTGTTTAAAATAGTAACAAAAGCATGACTTTTTTATATGACTTTCATAAAATGCTTAAATGAATAGTTGCTCACAAGACTTTTTCAATAATAAAGTATGTGAAAATAATATGAATCACTGCTGACATATTGCAAACTGAAATTCCTGACTGTATATTATTTATATACTAAGTAGCTCTCTTGTGTTCCTTGTAATTGCAAAATTTATTGTTTATAACCCACTTAGAGACCATATATATATATGCAATCAATTAGTTATTGCCATTTTAGTCTGAAGATAAGCTCAAGTTTGCCTGAAATGCTCCGCATAACAATAGGCTTTCTGCATGCACACCACAATGTCATCCGTCTCTGTACAAACATTGCATCATGCTGAAATAAAGATTACACATGATTATACTGCACTATTAGGGATGCATACACTTTTGAAAGCTCTACATTTAAAGGAAATGCAATTAAGTTGTTTAAAACCATAATGCAGTATTGTTTTTCATCAAACCAGCCATATCCCACAGTGGCACAAATGGGAAAAATAAGGAAAAATAAAATCCATTGTAATAATAGTAGACCTACTTTTTTGTACTTTTAGCTCATTTGGTATAGGAATTCTGAGTTCTCATTGGCTTTTAAAATAAAAAAATCTGACTCCAGAGGACAGAAGAGAAGCAAATTTTACAAAGATTTTCTTTTGGAGAGGAAGAAGTCAGGTATTTCAGAGGATCATTCCTCTCATCCATACCCACCCTTCTTTCAATGACTTAGTCTGGGAGCTGGTGGAAAGTCACTGCCAGAGAGGGAGGAATACACAATCTCACAGAATAAGCCTATCATGAAAACTCACCATTCTACAGGTGTCATATTGGGAAGAAACGGTCTGACCCCTGTGATGATCTCGTGCGTGACTAGACCCAAGCTCCAGTAATCAACTGTACAGGTGTATCTCTTGCTAAGAAACAGTTCTGGGGCCAGATACTGAAGTGTGCCCACAAATGATGTGCACACACTACTCTGGTCCAGTTCTTTGGCATAACCAAGATCAATAAGCTTATGCACTGTCTGTAAATATAAAATTCATAATTATGTCTTTTTCATGACATTTTAATTGGGAATTAAAATATTTTTTTAACTCAACGGCTGTCTCCTACCAAGGCAGGGTGACTCAGAGAAGGAAACACATTCACCATCATTCACTCAAAAGCCACCTTGCCAGAAGTGTGTGCACATTACCATTCAAATGACCTATCAAACCATGACATTCCATTCACCTTCATATATGTATAAGCAATTTTTTCCTATATTTTAAATTTACCTAGGTAGTAGGTTGGTAGACAGCAACTGCCCAGGGAGGTACTACCGTCCTGCCAAGTGAGTGTAAAACGGAAACCTGTAATTGTTTTACACGATGGTAGGAGTGCTAGTGTCCATTTTTCTGTCTCATAAACATGCAAGGTTTCAGGTACGTCTTGCTACTTCTACTTACACTTAGGTCACACTACACATACATGTACAAGCATATATATACACGCCCCTCTGGGCTTTCTTCTATTTTTCTTACTAGTTCTTGCTCTTGTTTATTTCCTCTTACCTCCATGGGAAAGTGGAACAGAATTCTTCCTCCGTAAGCCATGCGTGTCGTAAGAGGCGACTAAAATGCCAGGAGCAAGGGGCTAGTAACCCCTTCTCCTGTATATATTACTAAATTTAAAAGGAGAAACTTTCGTTTTTCCTTTTGGGCCACCCTGCCTCGGTGGGATATGGCCGGTTTGTTGAAAGAAAGAAAGATTTTAAATTTGTAATGATTTTAAATTATAATAAATTTTACAAATGCACCATACTGTATTTCATTTTTAATAAATGAGGATTTAATTTTGGAAGAAGTTATTGATGGATTATTATTTTAACACATCGGCCATTTCCCACCAAAGCAAGGTGACCCACAATGATAAAAAAAAATTTCATCATCATTCAGCACTTTCACCATCACTCATACATATCACTATCTTTGCAAAGGCGCTAACAAAATAAAAATTACATAGGTGGAGTGGTAATATATTAACTTTATGTGTGTGTGTTACTTTTAGAAATGTAATTTAGTTATGGCTAGTATAATGTTCAAGTAACAAACAGAATAAATAGGCTCATTTTGCAAATTATAAATAGAAATTCAACCAATGTATTTTTAATGTTTAATCTTGGCTTTAGGCTTGTCCAAAGAATTATACATAATATGGGTTTTGAAATAGTTTGGAAATGAGAAGTACAATGCCTGCACTTTAAAGGAGGGGCTAGGGATATTGGCATTTTGGAGGGACTTCTAAACTGTCATATCTAAGCACCTCTGCTAAGGCAGTGATTATGTACGAGTGATGGTGAAAGTGTTGAATGATGACTAAAGAATTTTTCTTACTTTCTGAGTTTTTCTTTCTTTTTGCTTCATCCTGCCTCGATGGAAAATGGCCAATGCGTTAAAAAAAATGACACTTTATAACTTGGGGTCAGAAGGCCTTATAACTGAAAAATCTTGTCAATTGCACTATATAGGAAAATTCAATTCTGAAGGCAAAAAATAAAATAAACAGGATATGGAAACTATACATGAATTTTTTAGTGGTGGATAACTGAGAGAATGGCAGGTGAAGCAGGGAAATAATGAAAATATAAAATTAAATTTTCAGATATGAAAATACAATTCTTATAATTTATATGTGAATAGCACAAGGTTATTTTTTATAAAAAGTTAGTATGAATGAAGTGGGGCGAGTTTCACCCAAATTAATTACTATAACTATTTCACCCTGCCTCGGTGGGAGACGGCCGACTTGTTGAAAAAAAAAAAAAAAAATTTCTAGAATCCGAGGACAAAAATAATGGTAGACTGTGCAGTAACCTCTTAATTCACATGAAAAAAAAAATGAGAATGAGAAACAGAAAGCTTATCTCTGACCTCTCCCATTTTCATTTCTCTCATTAGTTTCGCATCCACTGCAAACAAACACAAGTGACCTCCTCTGGTAGAACATTATATACAACAGTGTAATGCATAAAATTACTGTGCAGGAGGGCCCCGTTTGTATGGCTCTTGGGTTCCCAACCCCGTACAGTAAGCAAAATTGCCAACGGGTGGAAAAGAGCAATTTTTTCATTACCGACTGCATCTAAAATGTCTGATAGCATATTTACATCATATAATAAGTGCTTAATACAGCTAGGCATAAAAATACAATACATACAATACTTATCCTAAAATATGGTGCTGGTTGTCCTTCCCTTATGTAACCCTTGTATGAAAATGGTAGAAAAGCAGTAAAAGTACTGAAGATAATGAACAATGGCTCAGTTGAAAACCAACAAAAACATGGAACACTGAAAAGAGGGTACTGTATGTGCGGGGCCTTCCTGTACTTAGTTTGCTACAGCTTTCAGTCTCTACAAACCTTGCCATCAACATCTTGGAGAACAATGTTTTCTGGCTTCAGGTCTCGATGGATTATTCTCATGGAGTGTAAGTATGCCACCGCATCCGTTATATCTCGTATACAAGCACGAACCGCTGCTTCTCGCAAACCACAACAGTTTTCTGGTTTGTTTAATACCTGAAATAAATCACTACAGATAAAAGAATAATTCAATTGTTTTATATTATGAGGGAGGTACAGAAAAAAAAAAACCCATCACACTGTTTCAGCAAAGCAGAGCCTTTCTACCCATGCCACATCCCATAACTAGGATACAGAATTTTTGTATTCAGTGCAACAACTAAAGCCATATAAAGTATGTACTTAAATCTTTAAAGCTTTTCAAAACAGTTAAAACTTGTCTAAAATCATTCAAAACACATAAAAATAATACGAGAATATGACATTATTGAATGGCACTTGTGCCAGAATACAATGAAAAATGTAGAGTATCATTAACTTGTATTATGTTAAAACAATAACATACAGGTTTCCCACACTTAATGCAGATTTATTTAATGTGAATTCAGCATTATGTAATGTTCAATTTCTATTGGTAATTTTACATGTATGATACAGCTGTACATGTGTCATAAGTGACTGGCAAGTTAAGTAGAGCATCTTGAAGATTTCTCTTAGTATGCAGGTTTGTGATTATATCCTTATTGAGCTTATTATGGCTGCCGTGGACCTGGAATTCGTCTACAGCATAAAATGAAGGACTTACTTGAAAAGCAATACCAGGCATCCTTAAATGTTGTAAATGAAATGCTACTCATTAGAGAAGGGTAGTACAGTACATATTAATTCAAATTATGGAATGGGTGGGATTTGAACTTACTTGCCATGGGTTCAATCCCCACCCGTTCCGTGATTTGTTTGCAATCGAGTTATGCTAATTTAAATTACTCTGAGAGAAAAGAATACATTACAGCCTCTCCTCACTTAGCCACGTACTTGTTTACCGATGACTCGGATTTACGACGGGCTCTCTGACCAGTATGCATACCTAAATAATGCATATTAGAGCTGGTTTCCTCTGTTCTGTTTATTACAATATACATGTACAGTACACTACTGTATAAACATTTAAAAACATACCAGAAATGTATAAATGGTGCAAAGATGACATTAACCAATATCAAAGATGGATGACACAAACCCACTATCATTATAGTATACTCCTCATTTAGCGACAAATTTGTTTACTGACATAGTCTTAGGAACAGAACTCCATTGTTAAGTGAGGAAAGGCTGTACTAACATTACTGTTAATTCAAAAAGAAATTTATACTAGGAAGTTACAGAGCAGGCCCTCTCATACCTTGCGAAGGTCACCCCCACTGCAGTACTCCATGCAGAGCATGGGCAAGTCACCAGGGGGACCAGCCAGCTCAGGTACCACTGGGAAACATTTAACAACTGCCGGGTGAGAGAGACGGTTCATGATCTCCACTTCTTTTTCCCAACGCTCAACATGTTTAGATGTTAATATGTTCTCTGTACCCGTTCCTGGAGTACCCCAGCGACACTTTTTCAAAGCTGTTAGAGTACAAATAAATTAAATACCTTATAAACTTCTATTATAGTACATTACAATAAATATTAAATATGGTTAAATCACATTAGAACAATATAGGGAGGTACACATATCCCCATCTCCAGCCTCAGTACAGTTGAACCTGAGAACTTTCATGTTTTGTAATCTTCGTAATTTGATTATATGTTTGTACTGAATACCAATTAGTGAATAATTTCAATTATTTTTTTTTTTGTGCCCATTGACTCTTTGCTTGGTACGTGACCTCTAACTTTTTGCTTGCACATGACCCTAAATTGTTAATTTAGCATACAACCCCTAATTTGTTTTGTGCATTACCACTAAATTGTTGCTTGGCATACAGCCCCTAAATCTGAAAACAGCCATGGGATCTATATTTAAAAAATGTGCTCAATTTTTCTTTTCAATGTCAATATTAGGCAGATTACAATAATACAGTGGAACCTCAAAAATCGAACTTAATCCGCTCCAGGAGCTAGTTCTAAATTCGAAAAGTCTGAAATTCGAAGCAATATTTCCCAAAAGAAATAATGGAAATACAATTAATCCGTTCCAGAAACCCAAAAATATTCACACAAAAAATACATTTTATTAGAGATTAATTACAGTTTTACATACAACAAATACTATAGTTTTTAATTATGTATAGTAATACATATAAAATAACATTTTTACTTACCTTTATTGAAGATTGGTGATGGCATCTGGAAGATAGGGAGGAGGAGAGAGGGAGTTGGGGTTAGTGTTTGGAAGGAGAATCCCCCTCCATGAGGACTTCAGGTAAAGCCCTCTCTGGGGTTACTTCCCTTCTCTGTCTTTTAATGCCACTAGGACCAGCTTGAGAGTTACTGGACCCCTGTCTCACAAAATAACTGTCCACAGTCCTCTGTTTCTGGCGCCTCTTTAACATTTCCCTAAAATGGGACATGGTTCTGTCACTGAACTTGTTGCAAAGATGGCTTGTTTCAGCTTGATCAGGGTGGTACTTCTGCACAAACATTGGGCATCATTCCACTTGGCACAAATCTCCTTAATCTTTGAAGAAGGCACATCATCCACTCCCTATATTAACACCTTCCGCAACATCAGCTTCCTTGATTTGTTCTTTCTTTGACAGGATAGAACAGATGGTCAACTTGTTTTTCCCATACATCCTGGCAAGCTCAACAAGTCTCACACCACTCTCATACTTCTGTATTATTTCCTTCTTCACATCTATGGTGTTTCTCACTTTCTTTACCACAGGGTACCACTAGCAAGTTTCTTTGGGCCCATGGCAGCTTATTTCACAGTCCCACAAGCACCAAACACAACGAAATAATCGTAAAATGCGTGAATGAGAGTGCAGGATAGTGTTCACTCAAGCATAAACAAAGCTAGACTGCACACGGTGCCTGCGCAGGGACGCGGACAGAGCGGGCTGGCAGACAGGTCCATACCCGGTGGTCCGAAAATAGGGGCATGTTCGATAATAGGGACACAGTTTGTCCAAAAAAATGGTCCTATTTTCGAAACGTTTGATATGTGATACGTTCGATTTTTGAGGCTCCACTGTACTTATAAAAAATATAACCAAAAAAATTTAAATATAGTGGAACCTCAAATACTGAACTTTCTTCGTTCCAGACGGCTGTTCGAGTGCCGTTACCAAACGAATTTATTCCCATCAGGAATAATGTAAATTAGATTAGTTCATTTCAGACCCTCAAAAATACACTTATAAAAGCACTTACAAAAATACACTTACATAAATGGTTGAGTTGGGAGCAGTTTGATATTTGAGGTTCCACTGTAGCTCATAAATGTGAAATTTTCTAATATCTGTAGATTTAGCAACCTAACTCCACAAATTACACAGTTACACTGTATAGTACGTACACAACACAACACAAAGTTTTAAGAAATAACTTAAAAATGCCTGCCAGTCTTTTTTTGGACCTAATACAGCACAGGAGGGACTGGCACACTCTTTAAAGAGCTATCTCCTGCTTGTGTGTTAGTTATAAAGAAAATAATGTTACAAATAATTTTGCTGCAATATGTCTGCCTGTAAGCAGGGGGAGTAGTGGCAGTGGCTCAAGAGAAAGTGGACTGAAGCAAGGCAATAGTAATAGTACTCCTATTACTACTACAATTGTCTCATTTCACTCCACGTTGTCTCATGTATGCCTGTATATACATACTGCATGTCAGTTATTGTGCAGAATGGCAACATCAAATTAGAAGTGCATACTGAACCATTATAAATGCTAAGTTGTAATTCCTTATGCTGTTCTGGTTTAGTTTAACTGGCATTAGTTTAACTAAACTTTTCTAGTATGCACCTGAAAGATTAAAAAGCTGGCCTATTACAGTATTTCTGTCCAAGACTTAGGTCTAGTGTAGATGAAATCTCACCCAAGAAACAAAGCAACTAATAGTTATGATACAATGCCTTAATACAAGTTAATGTATGTGTACGAAGTGGCAAGAAAATATATAACAGTGTAATAGCCCTAAATTTTTAGTCAAGTCAAATCGCCTATTTTTATGATGAACAGGGCTAGATTTTGGCTATGAAAGTCTTTTAAAATGCAAAACTTTTCCCCCATTAAAATTCACCTACTAATAAAAGGCACCATTTAAAAAAGTACATAGAATTAGTTAAGAATCTGATAATAAACAAGGGTATCAGTCTCATAAAATATGAAGTACATGTACAGTAAACCCTCTATTAACCCTTAAACGGTCCGAACGTATATATACGTTCTCTCGCACAGCGCCCCAAACGTATATATACGTTTCATTTTTCATTCATTCAAAATTGGCACGATAGGCCTGAGTCGCCTAGACACGAGAGAATGGGTGTGCGCCGTATGAAAAAAATCGGGGACGCCTGGGTACCACATGGTAGGTCCAGTTACATTCAGCTCCATCTTGGGTCAGCATCATGGCACATCCTTGTGATTCACTCACGCCTCGTCGTATTAACACTCTACTATTCGAGGAAAGTGATATAGATCGTGGGTTTAGTGGATTTGACAACAATGGGGCCAGTAATAGTCAAGGAATTAGTGAAAATGTCGACGATAACCCAGATGACCCTCAGCCCATCACCTCTGGGGTAGCCACACTTGTCCTTGGGCCAAGCACCTCTGGGGCAGCCAGTTTGACCACAGAAGACTCTAGGCCAAGCACTTCTGGGGTGGCCAGTGTGGCCACACAAGATCCTGGGCCAAGCACCTCTGGAGTGGCGAGTGTTACCCATAGGCAACTTTGCAAGAGGAAACTATCATTTCCCCGGTGTTTCAGCGATAGTGAAAGTGAAGTAAGTGACGATGAGACTGATTGTATACCATTCAAGGATTCGTCTAGCGATAGTGAAGTTCATTATTCACCAGTGAAGCATACTTTCAGGCGACAGCGGCGTCTACATTCAGGTAGCGTGCCATATGGAATCCCCAAGGGTCATGGTAGGTCACAATCCCAAACCCCGGCCACTGATAGTAAAAGTGATCATGAAGGCGAGTATGCGGGGATGGAGGAAGTAGTGGTGGGTGGCACGGTGCCTGGACCACATGGCGTGGTGGGTGGACAGACAAAGGATTGCCTGGCATCCCCTCAACCATGTGCTGCCTCCACTCCTGTCCCTCCCCCTGCTCCCCCTCGCCCCATGCCACAGGTCCACCCTGCACCATGTGATTGTGAGTGGAACTGGACACAAAGTATATTCGTGCCACAGCCTTGTGATTTTGATGTGAGTGGAAGTGGTATCCAGCTAGAATGTAACCTATCGAATGAGTCTACAGAGTTAGACTATTTCGTTAGACTATTTCCAGTTGTACTTTGACGAGCCTATAAGGAACTTGATAGTGACCTAGACAAACAATTATTACCGATATGTTACGGACAACACAGCAGAGGCTGGAGAATAGTTATGGCTGCACAGGTGGAAAGACACAACAGTGGCTGAAATGTATTTATTCCTTGCCACTGTCATGCTTATGCCACATATCTATAAGAACAATATACGTAATTACTGGTCCACAGACCACTTTATCAGTACTCCAGTTTTCTGTAACCTCCTTCCCTGCAACAGATTCACTCTGTTGCTACGAATGTTGCACTTCTCAGACAGAAATATGCCAAACAGAAATGACCTTCTATAGAAAATCTAGGAAGTGTTTATGTATTTGAAGCAGAAATTCAGTGCATACTTTTATCCCTTCAAGAACATTGTTGTTGATGAATCCTTGATTCTGTTCAAGGGACGCCTGTCATTCAAGAAATATATGCTGAGCAAACGTAATCGTTTTGGTATAAAACTTTTTGTTATGTTACTGTGAGAGTGGTCTTGTGTTGGATGTTATTGTATACACCGGGAGAAACACACTCAATGATGACAAATGGATGTTGGGCATTTCCGGTGATGTTGTTCGCAGGATGATGGAACCATACCTTGGCAAGGGCCATACACTGTACACAGACAACTGGTATACAAGCCCTATGCTTGCTGATTTCCTACGTGTGAACAATACTGATATATGTGGAACAGTGAAAAGCAATAGAAAACATATGCAAAGGTTCAATGGAGGCAGTGTTGAAGGTGCAGTGCAGGTGTTTCATGCCAATGACATCATGGCACTGACTTGACATGACAAACGGGATGTGACATTGCTGTCAACCATCCACAGAAACGAGATGGTACAAACAGACAGACTGAGCAGGTTCAACAATAAACCTATTGTAAAGCCAGCTGCTGTCGTGGACTATACGTACAATATGCGACTAGTTGACAAGTGTGACATAATGACAGGGTTTCTTGACTGTGTACGTAGGAGTCGTAAGTGGTATATAAAACTGTTTTTTCACCTTGTAGACATTGCAGTGCTCAATACACTCAACATGTACGAAATAAAGACTGGAAAACGACAAAGTTTTGCAGAATTCTCTCAGAATGCTGTCAAACAGAGAGCAAGAAAGTATGGTACCACACCTGTACCTGCCCCTCAACAGTGACTTGTCTCACAACCACAGCCAGTGGGGAAAGTGCCAGACCGAATCACTCCTAACTGTCACTATCTGGTACCAATACAATCTACCCCAAAGAAGAAGAATTCCCAGAAAAAGTGTGTTGCGTGTGCTACCACCAAAAAATGACCCCAACAGCGGAAGGACACACGATTCATTTGTCACCAGTGTGAGGTGGCACTCTGTATGAATCCATGCTTCATGGAGTATCATACAATCGTGGAATTCAAGAAACATAAGTGGGATATGTAAGTACAGTGGACCCCCGCATAACGATCACCTCCCAATGCGACCAATTATGTAAGTGTATTTATGTAAGTGCGTTTGTACGTGTATGCTTGGGGGTCTGAAATGGACTAATCTACTTCACAATATTCCTTATGGGAACAAATTCGGTCAGTACTGGAATGAAAAAATATCGTTAACCGAGGGTCCACTGTACTTGTATATAGTTGTAGATAATAGAATGTAATTCAGCCAGGTGTGCAAAATCACCTGTCAGTGTGTACATGTGTGTTTATGACAATATGATAATAATTTCGTATATAACATTGGTGTATAAACAACAATTGGCATTTAAATCAAAAGATTTACTATAGAACATAATTATCATATCACGAAAAACCAAGAAAATTAAAAAAAATGGAAGAAAACGGTAAATATGTGAATTTCTGCAAGCGGCAGTGCTCCATGTTGCCGTCAGGTGATCGCCAAGTGCTAACTTGGCGGCCTCATATCTCGGTAAGTACTGACCCTAAAATTTTTTTTATTCTAAAAAAAAAAAAATTTTTGTTTTTTCAAAATACTCGGGGTGCTGCACAAGAGAACGTATATATACGTTTGGACCGTTTAAGGGTTAAATGGAGTAATTGGGGGAAATAGGTGGCCATTAATGGCAATAAGAATGTATAGAGAAAAGATTATTTTGTCATGATTGTAACAACAATTAACAATTCTGCGACCAAGGGACTTTCTTCACTGTTTGTAAAATCTACAGACCCAGCAAATTTTGCTCCCTATTTCCTAAGTCTGTCAAGTTGAGGTCCATTAAATAGAGGGTTGACTGTACTCTACACGGCAATGCATTTTTTACCGATCGTTTCCCCAGTGTCATTATGGCGCCACAGTGTAACTGTCCCAAATCCACCAGTCCCAAGAACTTTATCCTTGATCCAGGGATGTGTTGCTGATTTTTCTTCTGCTGCAGCCATTCCTCTGTAACAAAAACAAATTGGCATTAGAGAATTCCAAAATTTCAATTTGCTATTTTTTTATAACATACGTCTCCAAAAAAATAACTATTCGGACTTTCAACTTACAGTTTCTGAATGGAGGAAACATCTTGAAGAATGTGATAGGTTAATATTTTTATACAATCTTAGGAAATATAGTTTCATGGTAAGATAAGATAAGATTTCGTTCGGATTTTTAACCCCGGGGGGTTAGCCACCCAGGATAACCCAAGAAAGTCAGTGCGTCATCGAGGACTGTCTAACTTATTTCCATTGGGGTCCTTAATCTTGTCCCCCAGGATGCGACCCACACCAGTCGACTAACACCCAGGTACCTATTTGCTGCTAGGTGAACAGGACAACATGTGTAAGGAAACGTGTCGAAATGTTTCCACCCGCCGGGAATCGAACCCGGGCCCTCCGTGTGTGAAGCGGGAGCTTTAGCCACCAGGCCACCGGGCCGTAGGTTGTTCGAAAAACATTTTTGAATTGAATGGGATTTCTGTAACTGCACTGACCATCAAAATATGCAATATACTTCAGCATATTTTTTTTAATATCTTTAAATATTTCACATACTAAAAATTCAGATACAAGATGATTTTTACATGTAAAAAAGCCTTTATTTAGGTTCACTAAACATATGGTTAAATTTTTACAATGGCCTTGGGGCACATCAATGTTAAAGACATGTAAAATAGTACTTGATGTAGATTTAGCCAAGGATCAGTCAGTAAAGTTAAAGAATGTGACTTATTTGCTGTGGGAATTAAAAATTCCTCTTATAGGCTATTTGAAAAATATTTTGATAATGAACTTTTTCGCACCTTTGATGTAAACACAAAGAATATTCCAGAAGAACATAAGAAAGAAAGAACACTGCATTAGGCCTGTTGGCCCATACTAGGCAGGTCCTTCACAAATCCAGCCCACTAACAGAATATTTTCCCAACCCATTAACTCATTCATTAGTCATGCACAAATCCCACTCAAATCCAACCCCTCTCACCCAGACATATCACAACTTTTTCCAATTTGCTTATTTGTGTTTTAAAATATTTTTTACAGGTTTATGCAACTTAACCTAACCTAAATTAACCTTGGCAAGAGTAGATGATCGCTCACTGGCAATTCTTGGGGACATTAATTAAAGTCTTAATTGTAAGATATTAAGTTTATCTTACAGCGAGATATTTTGCATCGTAAACGGTAAAAAGTGTAACCTAAGAAAAGCTGTGTGGCCCAACCGAATATAACAAAGAGTAACTTAACCTTACTCCACCGTCAGTAAGTACTGGCATATAACAGTTTACATTCATCTAGACATGACACAACTCGATACTAAGCAATGATTGGCCAAGACATGCTGTACAACCAAAATATATTATTTTTGCTAATATATCTCAAAATAACAACTTGCCTGGTAGGCAAAGCTCTTGTTTCATACGCTGAGTGTCCGTGATTCAATCCTCGGCAGGGATGAAAACATTGGGCATGTTTCCTTATACTACCTGTTGTCCCTGTTCACCTAGCAAGCAAGTAGGTACATGTACCTGGGTGTTAGTTGACTGGTGTGGGTCACATCCTGGGGGACAAGAGTGAGAACCCCAGCAGAAATAAGACAGACAGTCCCTCTATGACGCACTGACTTTCTCAGGTCATCCTGGGTGGCTAACCCTCCAGGATTAAAACCCCGAACAAAATCTTATCTTAATGACATATACTACTATACAGAAAGTCCCTTGTTATGCTGAGCGTTTCGGGCAAATTAGGTCAATTTTGCCCCCAGGATGCGACCCATACCTGTCGACTAACATCCAGGTACCTAATTTACTGCTAGGTGAACATGGACAGTAGGTGTCTGAAGGCAACACGCTCTAATGTTTTCCACCCGTACCGGGGATCGAACCCCAGACCTCCGTGTGTGAGCTACGGTTGTATTGCAGTGTTAACCAATGCTGTAGCTCCGCCGAGCAGCCGTCGGTGGTTATATCTTCCGTTATTCCGCTGTGTACGTCATACCATGAATAAATTATTAAAATCATGGGGAAGCACTAAACCCAAGCGAGTCATCCCGTGCTGGGGGGGGGAAGGGAGGTAACAAGGTTTACTCCAAGGGAAGGGAAGGTCCAATTCCTTGGAACAAGAGCCTTTCAATGGCATTAAGGCCACTATCTTGTGGGTATTTTATTTTCATCAATGGGAAGCACTAAACCCGCATGAATCACAGTACTGAGAGAGGGAGACAATCATGTCTGATCCAAGAAAAATGAGCAAATGAACAGCCCAAACTCCTTGGATCAAAAGCCTTTGGAAGACAAGATCATTTTCCTCTAATTTTAACCAACGGGAAGAGCTAAACCCACACGAGCCACGCATCACTCTGGACGTGAAATGAGAGGCAATCAGGTTCAATCCAAGGCAATGGAGGATAAAATAAGCTTCCCCCTTTGCATGAAGATCCCATTCCTCGGATCAAACCACCCCCCTGAACCCCCCTAAAACTAAACCATTTCAATCACCCCAGAGACGAGGGGTCAGAGGCGACCTAATTAGGGCAATTTAGGGCAATTCCAGGACAAATTCTGCGGTAATTAGGCAAGAGAGATGAGGAGAGGGTGAGAAGCAACCCCCAGAGAAAGAGAGAAAGTGAAGAAAGTAAGTGTTAAGGACGTACTTGTGAAAGTAAGTGATGAGAGAGAGCAAGGATCAACACTGTTGTTGTTGTTGTTGATGTTGTTGTTGTTGCTGCTGCTGCTGCACCGCCAAGTGTTGACGGGGATTACCAACACCACAACTATCTTAGTAACTTACTATCTTAGTAACTTACTATCTTAGTAACTTACTGTCTTAGTAACTTACTAGCTTAGTAACTTACTGTCTTAGTAACTTACTAGCTTAGTAACTTACTGTCTTAGTAACTTACTATCTTAGTAACTTACTGTCTTAGTAACTTACTAGCTTAGTAACTTACTGTCTTAGTAACTTACTAGCTTAGTAACTTACTGTCTTAGTAACTTACTATCTTAGTAACTTACTATCTTAGTAACTTACTAGCTTATTAACTTACTTAGTAACTTACTATCTTAGTAACTTACTAGCTTAGTAACTTACTATCTTAGTAACTTACTAGCTTAGTAACTTACTATCTTAGTAACTTACTAGCTTAGTAACTTACTATCTTAGTAACTTACTATCTTAGTAACTTACTATCTTAGTAACTTACTATCTTAGTAACTTACTAGCTTAGTAACTTACTAGCTTATTAACTTACTAGCTTAGTAACTTACTATCTTTGTAACTTACTAGCTTAGTAACTTACTATTTTTGTAACTTACTATCTTAGTAACTTACTAGCTTAGTAACTTACTAGCTTAGTAACTTACTAGCTTAGTAACTTACTATCTTAGTAACTTACTAGCTTAGTAACTTACTATCTTAGTAACTTACTATCTTAGTAACATACTATCTTAGTAACTTACTAGCTTAGTAACTTACTATCTTAGTAACTTACTAGCTTAGTAACTTACTGTCTTAGTAACTTACTAGCTTAGTAACTTACTGTCTTAGTAACTTACTAGCTTAGTAACTTACTAGCTTAGTAACTTACTAGCTTAGTAACTTACTATCTTAGTAACTTACTAGCTTAGTAACTTACTATCTTAGTAACTTACTAGCTTAGTAACTTACTTAGTAACTTACTATCTTAGTAACTTACTAGCTTAGTAACTTACTAGCTTAGTAACTTACTATCTTAGTAACTTACTATCTTAGTAACTTACTAGCTTAGAACATAAGAACATAAGAACGAAGGAACACTGCAGAAGGCCTACTGGCCCATGCGAGGCAGGTCCAAGTCTCCTACCGGCTTAAGCCAATGCACCCAACCTAGTCAGGTCAGGTCACATTGACTTAAGGGAGGAACACGGCAACCGACCTGGTAGCACAAGCTATCAGGTCTAACTCACACCCACCCACATCCACTCATGTATTTATCCAACCTATTTTTAAAGCTACACAACGTTCTGGCCTCTATAACGGTACTTGGGAGTTTGTTCCACTCATCCACAACTCTATTACCAAACCAGTACTTTCCTATATCCTTCCTGAATCTGAATTTTTCCAACTTAAAATCATTGCTGCGAGTCCTGTCTAGGCATAGATATTTTCAGCACACTATTTACATCCCCTTTATTTATTCCTGTCTTCCATTTATACACCTCAATCATATCCCCCCTAATTCTACGTCTTTCTAGAGAGTGCAGTTTCAGGGCCCTTAGTCTATCCTCATAGGGAAGGTTTCTGATACATGGGATCAACTTTGTCATCCTCCTTTGTACATTTTCCAGAGAATTTATATCCATTCTGTAATACGGTGACCAAAACTGTGCAGCATAATCTAAATGAGGCCTAACCAAGGATGTATAGAGTTGAAGAACAACCTGAGGACTCCTATTATTTATGCTTCTTGATATGAAGCCAAGGATTCTATTAGCTTTATTGCGAACACTTATGCACTGTTGTCTTGGTTTCAGATTACTGCTAACCAGAACTCCTAAATCTTTTTCGCAATCCGTAATATTAAGATCTACATTATTTAGTTTATATGTGGGCATGGTTATTGTCCTGTCCAACATTTAGAACTTTGCATTTGTCTATATTAAACTGCATCTGCACTTCTCCGACCACTGCATCAGTCTATTCAAATCTTCCTGGAGTGCTCGAATGTCCTCGTCAGAATGAATTCGACGGCCTATTTTGGTGTCATCGGCAAACTTGCCGATGTCGCTCTTTATGCCCTCATCTATGTCGTTTATTAGATTGTGAACAGCAGGGGGCCCAACACTGACCCTGTGGAACACCGCTCGTGACACTTCCCCACTCTGATTTCTCCCCATTTATGCAAACTCTCTGCTGCCTATTTGTCAACCATGCCTTATCCAGGAAAAAATTTCTCCTCCTATTCCATGTGCTTTAATTTTCCTCAATAGTCTCTGATGTGGGACCCTGTCAAAAGCCTTACTGAAGTCCATATACACAATATCATATTCATTACCATGATCTACCTCCTCAAATACCTTAGTGAAAAAAGTTAATAAATTCGTAAGGCAGGAACGCCCCTTTGTAAAACCATGCTGAGATTCGTTGATTAATTTATGTTTTTCAAGGGGGCTACGAACTGCCTCGGGAATTATGATTCCATAAATTTTCCCACTATGGAGGTTAGGCTTAAATTTGGTCTATAGTTCGATGCTAAGGACCTGTCACCTGTTTTGAAAATAGGTATCACATTTGCCATTTTCCACTTATCTGGCACCATGCCAGTTTGTAGTGATATGTTGAAAAGATTAGCCAAAGGGGTGCTAAGCTCCTCTTTACATTCCTTTAAAACCCTTGCATACAGTTCATCAGGGCCTGGGGATTTGTTAGGTTTTAATTTATCTATTTGCCTAAGGACCATGTCACTTGTGACCTAATAGTGCACAGTTTATTATCGTCCTGTTCTACATAATTTATCATTACTGGAATATCGCTGGTATCCTCCTGTGTAAAAAACTGAGAGGAAGTATGTGTTAAAAATTCTACACATTTCCTTATCACTGTCAGTGAAACTGACCCGAGGAAACTTTTGAGTGGGCCTATCTTGTCCCTGATCTTACTTCTGTATACCTGAAAGAATCCTTTTGGGTTAGTCTTCGATTCTCTTGCAACTTTAGCCTCATAATCTCTTTTTGCTTTTCTAATTCCCTTTTTTATTTCTCTCTTTAACTGAATATATCGATTTCTCAATTTGCCCCTCTCCTCTTTTGATTTGCCTATATATGCCTCTCTTTTGACCAATCAGATATTTTAATCTATTGTTCATCCATTTAGGATCATTTTTGTTTGATCTGATTTCCCTATTTGGAACATAATTTGACTGAGCAGCTAGAACTATGCCCTGGAAAGCATCATATCGGCAACCATCACCACCTACCTGACCCTTAGTCAGGTCATTCCAGTTCAGCCCACCTAAGTAATTTTCAGTCCTATGAAATCAGCCAAGCGAAAGTCAGGAACGGAGACTTGATTGCCATTATTAGGGGAATTCCATGATATATTAAAACTGAGTGATTTGTGATCATTTTCCCCAAGCTCATCATTAACCTCAAGATTATTAATTAGTGTTTCCCTACTGGCAAGAACCAAGTCAAGGAGGTTATTTCCCCTAGTTGGCTCTGTCACAAACTGTTTTAAAAAACAATCCTGGATCGTATCAAGAAAGTCACCTGACTCTAAATTTCCTGTCAAATTGCTCCAGTCAATCTGTCTATAGTTGAAATCTCCCATTAGCACAACATTTTTCGTATGTAGATGCCTTCCGAATTTCGTCCCATAGAAGTTTACTGCACTCCCTATCAAGATTTGGGGCCCTGTAAATCACACACCCAAAATTAGTTTTTCTCGGCCCTCGAGAAGCTGTAACCAAACAGATTCAGTGGCTGACGCTTCTAATTTAATATCTTGTCTAACACAACAATTTAAATTGTCTCTGACATACATCGCTACTCCACCACCTTTCCTGTTGACCCTGTCAGTGTGGAATAATTTATAGCCTTGTATGTGACATTCAGAGGGCATCTCTCTATCTTTCAGATTGAGCCAGGTCTCTGTTATAGCAATAATATCTATGTTTCCTGCACTTGCAATTAATCTTAGCTCATCTATCTTATTTCTTACACTCCTGCTATTAGTATAGTAAACCTTAAGGGAGCTAGTCCCTTGCTGCCCTCTGCTGTCCCCCTTTGTCTGCTGACCTGATCTATTGTCTTTATTTATAACTTCATGCTGAATGCCTTTTATACATTTACTGTTTCCAACCCAAGTGTTGCAACCTGCTTGTTTCCCACACACACCCATACCTCTATCTTCCATCAGTTTAAAATCATAGGCATTTCACCAATGGCCTTCTCAATCGAGTCTGCAAGTGCTACCACCCCAGCCCCAGAGAGATGTACCCCATCCCTTGCATACATATCATGTTTGCCATAAAAGTTGTTCCAGTTGTCAATGAATGGGATTGCAAGTTCCTTGCAGTATCTGTCTAGCCAGCAATTTACACCAATTGCCCTAGACAACCATTCATTTCCTACTCCCCTTCTAGGCAAGATGCTACATATGATTGGGATCCCTCCCTTAGACTTAATGAAATCTATAGCTAAACAATAACTAAACAATGTCCAACTTAAAAGTCTACGTAGTGTAGTGTATGTTTTGCTCCATTATTGTTCAAATTTCATTGTACAATCTCTTAGTATTTAAATAATCAACTACCTCATTTTGTGATTTTACTAGTAAGCATAAATCACCTTATGTGATTTTCTTATTTACTATTGTTCGCTTGAACATTAGCTGAATTGATACTTTCTCTGTCCATATTACTACCTCATATTTTTTTTAAATACTACAATTGATATTACTTACTAAAATTAATAAATATCATTTTTACTAAAATTTCAATTTACTCTTAACATTTTTGACATTTAATAACCATTACTTGACTAATTACCTTTACCTGTTTTAATACCACATTTACTATCCTAGATTACTCTTAATTACCTTGTACTGCCATATAACCTCAAGTATAACTACCAGTGCAATATTGAATGAAATAAACATTACTATTTCACTTTTTTTGTAATCATTATTACTTACTAAAATTTTATTAAACACCATATTTACTACCAGTCAATTTTACTTTTGTACATTAAACATT